CTTTCTGCTGCTCCCAAGTAGCCCAGGAGTCTGCTCTGACACGAGGCCTGGGGGTCATGCACGAGCCCCAGCCAGCTGATGGGGAAACGGGCGCCCGGAGGGGCCGAGCTGTCCTTACCAGTCAGCGTGCACTCCGTCTGCCGGATGCCCTCAATCACCATCCAGGGCTGCTCCTCCTTGAGGCGGGGCAGGCCTTCGAAGTTGGTCCGCCGATACTCCAGCACATAGTGGTCGATCTTGCTGTCCTCGTCCGGCATGCGCCACACCAGCGTCACACAGTTGTCTGCCACCAAGGACTCGGCCAGGTCGATCACGGGGGTGCTGGGCACTGCCCAGGACAGAGGAGAGGGGTCAGGGTTCTGCGCCAGCAGGGGCGGGCCTTGCTGGAACCCCATCCACACGGCTGACCTGCTTGGGGAGTGGGGCCTTCTCTGGATCGCAAGCTTAGGGGCAGGATTTTTTTGGGTTCTGGGTGCTGGGGCTGGAATCTCCTCAGGGTTCCACCACGGGGTGGGAGAGTGGGGAAGAGCTGAGAAAGGGCTGGGCCTTCACAGGATTCCACCATTTAGAAGTGGGACATTTCCAGAATTCTCTACCAACTGGGGGCATGGCCCTCATGGGACCCCACGGCTCCACCACCAGAGATGGGAGCTCCTTGTGGACACACCCACATGGGTGGGCATTCTGAGGGCGCCGGCCCCACAGACAGGGCCTTCTGGGGTTCAGCATCGGGTTGCCAGCCTGACTCCAGGCCTTACGGCAGGGCCCCTCTGGCTCCAGGGCCATTTCCCCGAGACCCTGGCCCTCCAGGGAGCCCCCCTCTCACCAGGCAGGAACTTGAGAGCCTGCAGCATCCTCCGCTCCTGTGCAAAGTCCACCATGAGGTGGCTCATGTTGTCGCTGACCTTGGCTTTGAGCGACAGCCGGAAGGCAGGGGCCATTGTCACACTGCAGGAGAGGAGGCGGAGGCAGCCTGCTGGCAGGCATCACAAGGGAGCACAGGCCAGGTCCCCCGAGATGTGCGGGGAGGACCCCCACCCCTTTGTCCCAGTCCATTGTTTTGGGCCGAGGGACCCTCACCTGGGGGTCCCCACCTGCACACCAGGGGTGGGGCACTGGGGTGGGGGCCAGATCCTAGCATCTTACCCATCTTTGATTTGCTTGGCAGCCTAGAAAGAGGGACAGAATGATTTTCAAAGAGTTGTCGCACCTGAATCAGAAACCCACTTACGCAGACAGGAAAACTGAGGCCCAGAGTGGTAGTCATTTGCCAAAGTCCTCAGCACCGGGGCAGAAACCCTTAGCTGTCCCCTGAAGAGATGGGGGGGCAAAGATAGGCTCCCACCCCTACTCCCACCTCCTGCCCTATGCCCAGTATGAACAATTGGCAGATTTAGCAAATACAAGTATAGGATGCTCAGTTAAACTTGCATTTCAGATAAGCAATATATGCTTTTTTAGTATAAGTACATCCCATCCAATATTTGGGATGTAGTCACACTAAATATTGCAGAGACCATACTTATACTAAGCGATCATTCATAGTTGATCTGAAATGCAAATCTAACTGGCTGTTCTGTATTGTATCTGTCAGTCCTTCCAATATGGCTTCTGGGGAGCCCACCTGTGGAAAGTCCTCACTGTCTGTGGCCTGCAGGGTCTGGTTGGCCGTCTCCAGAAGCTCCTCAGAGCTCTCCAGGGCCCGTGTGCAGGCAGCCAGCTGGTTCTGCAGGTGGCACGGCACCAAGGGAAGAGATACCCCCTGCTCTGCACCAAACCCCCCCAGGAGCCCCCACTGCCCTTGGGATCCAGGGTACCCATGTCCTCCAACTCCAGGAGGGAGAGGGAGGCTGACAGGAGGCTGGGCCTCGCTCCTGGCAGCTGCTCAGAATCACCTGGGAATCCCTTCCTTAAGAACTCCCATGCCCAGCCCACACCTGGAGCCCTGGGGCTGCACATTCCCCCCGGGAGCGGGAATCTGGGGTGCAAGGAAGTCACCCACGAGGTTTTAGTGCAGCTTCGCCCCAGCTCGGAGTCTGAGACCCCCTGGGAGCCACAGAGGGCATCTGGCGAGGGGTGATGATGTCAGTTCTGGGGGACCCGTGGGAAGGGCTGAGAAATTGGAGGCACTAGGTGAGGACAGGGCCACTGGCGCGTCTGGCTCTGGACCCTGCAGACATGTGGGCATCTCAGAGAAGTGGCACAGGACGAGGGGCACAGATGTACAGCCAGACTCCAAGGTCAGCGGGGTTCTGCTGAGTCTGGGGGGGTGCCGTGGCGGTAGCATCTGGGTGGGGGTGCAGGTGAGGCCCCCTGGCACACCTGCAGCTCGTAGGTGCGGCTGGCGCGGTCCTGCTTTATCTTCATGAGCATGCCCTCCTTCAGCTCCTCCAGGAGGGAAAAGAGGGACTGGAACTCTGCCTCCAGGTCCTCCTGCACCTTGGCCGAGTTGGCCTTGGATAGACATGGGATTGGCCAAAGCCCGAGCTCAGACAGGGAAACTGAGGCCTGAACGGGGCAGCCAGGCCCAGAGTGCCAGGGGCATCAGCAACAGGCTGGCTCCAATGGCTGCCCCCTCCCTCCCTCCTGCCCATCCACTGCCCAAGACTTCCGCACTGCCCTCCCTGCCCCCTTGGGGTGCCTTCCTCACCTCCACATTCAGCAGCATCTGCTTGAGGGAGTAGATGAAACTCTGAATCTCCTCATTCTTCACAGCCAGCGTGGTGATGATCTTCCGCAGAGCCTCCTGCGCCAGGGAAGCCCGCACACACGCCGGGCGGGTGAGCCCCTGCGCCTGGCCCAGATCCCACACTTAGGGCTCCCAATCTGCCCCCAGGGACCCAGGGAAGAGAGGTGGGGGCCACCGTGCCAATGGGCTGGTGCACCCCACCTGCCAGGAGGCAGGCCCTGAGCCCTGGTTCTGCGTTCCCACGCCAGCAAGTGGGCACCGCGAGCATGCCCATTTTACAGGGAAAGAAACTAAGGCTTATCCAGAAACTCTCAGGAAGAGACAGACTTGGTCTGAGCCCGGCCTGCCTGAGCACAAAGCCTTCGCCCGCGCACCAATGCCCTGCAGGAGAGTGCGGAGTGAGGGGCTGCTTAGGCAAAGAAAACCCCAGGGGAAAATGAAATGCTGCCTGCAGAAAATGGGCTAAGCTGGAGAATGGGACACCCTGGGAAAAGGGATTATCAAGGAGAAAAGGGGAACCTGGGGAGGGGGGTGCCAGTGGGCCCAGGTAAGTGCAGAGGGGGCAAGAAGGCCTGGGGTAGGGGATGCGGGGAGGGAAGAAGGCCGCGTGGGAGGATCCTGCTGGGGCCTGGAGCCCTGCCCCAGGCCTTCAAGGCCCTTTTTCTGGGGGCGCCGGGTCGGTAGGGTCACCTGGGCAGACCTGGCAGGCGTCCTCCGGAACGGGGCAGGGCAGGGCCGGGACACCTGGTCCACAGTCCGGATGCACGGCGTGGGGGAGGGGGATCAAGGCTGGTTCCGGGATACTGAGCGCGGGTTGGGGCACGGAGGGGCTGCACCTGGACCCAGGCCAAGATGATGGAGGGTCGGGCGGGGGGCGGGGGCTGCGTTCCAAATCGGGGGCTAAATCCGGGCGGGGCTGCGGCGGGGGTGGGGCCTCGGCCGCAGGGAAGCCGGCGGGGAGGGCACTGCAGCATCACCTGGTCCCCTCCCGCAGCCCACCGCCGCCGGGGGCTCCGCTCCGCCCCGCCCGGTCCTACCCTCTGGTCCTCCATGGCTGCAGCCCAGGTCGGCCCGGCCCGGCCCGCGGGCCCTGCTCGCTCTCCCAGTCCCAGAGCTGCCTTTGCCGAGGCCGGGAGCCAATGGCCCGCCGAGCCCTCGCCGCCGCCGCCGCCGCCGCGCCCCCAGTCAGCGCTCCATCACTGGCCGCAGCGCGCAGGCGCACCCTCCGAGACAGGCTGGGAAATGTAGTCCCTGGTTAGGGCGGAGTCGGTCACTGAAAGCTGGAGTCCCCGAGCATGCGGCCCACTAGGAATTCTTGGTTGTGATGGCTCAGCTGGAAAAAGCCAGAACCTGGGAGGCAGGATGCCTGGGTTCGACTCCTGGCCCTGTCGTGTGATCTTAGACCCATCCCTGGTCTCCCTGTGTGTATGCTCAAGCAACTGCTTAGCAGCTGCTCAAACTAGAATTCCAACACCCCGGCCAACCCTGACTACTCATATGCCTTGCATCTACTGAAAAGCCAAAGCCTTTTGCCCAAGCGGGTGTTCAGTTTCTACTGCCTTCTTTCTTACCCAACATCACAACCCAACTCCTATACATCCCACAAAGCCCCAGGCTCTGACATCTCTTCCTCCAGAAACCTCTGTCTACCCAGAATCCACGGGGCCAGGAACGTATGTGTACTGCTCTTGTCTTCCCCGTTTGCCTAGAGCTGAACCAATCCAGGATCTACAGCATTGCCCTGGCAGTAGAGCTTCAGAAAGTCTGCAGGAGGGGGAGGCCTGCACAGGGGGAGGCTAGGAGCTTGTGCGGCTGTTGGTCGTGTGGGGAGAGTGCCACCGAGGGGCCTCCCCGTGGTTGATAGGAATGATTCTGCAAAGGAGGCAGGCCCTCCTCTTTCTGGGTGAGGAAGGAGGTCACATGGTGGTTGAGGGGTAAGACATTGAGGCCTGGGGGATCTGACCCCTCCTCCTGGGGTGACAGCTGCTTCTGCAGAGCTGGGCAAAAGTCCAGAGCCTATGACTCCCCTCAAAAGGTTCCCCAAACTTCTACCCAGGCTGTGGGGGCAGGGGGACCTCCCATACCTGCTGTGGGACCCAAAGCCACCAGCAGAAATCCATACTTTTGACCCTCAAAGAAAGATGTTTTGAGGGCAAAAATTACTGAAGCTGGGATTGCTCTATTCAACCTGCCACTCAAGCCTCTGCTGACTTCTCCCCTCCCCCACGCCTGCATCACCTGGCCTTCCAGTGTGTTCCCCCAGCCCAGGTGTGTTTAGGCAGAGTCTTCAAGAAAGTGTTCCATTCGCTAGGACCCATTGTCTCCACTCACGGATGCATCCCGACTTTCAGATTAAAAAAAAAATCTTCTGGGGAAACCGAGGCAGGAGGCAGCAGGAAGTGGGGCCCCAGCAGCACTGGCCGCCTGACATCAGACGTCGGCTGCCTGGCCTAGGTATCACATCTGCCCCTGTGGCGGGGGTGGGGATTGTGGCAGGAAGTCTGTCAAATTGAAAGGGAAGTGGAGGCAATGGGGTGCGGGCCATGAGAGGGGGACCTGGTGGGCCAGGAATGGGGTCCCTGGGCATGGTGCTGGTCCTCCTGGTGCAGGTCTGGGGTGAGTATGTGAGCCTCCCCCGCCTCTGGCTCTTCTGCTGTGTGTCAGCCCGGCTCCTGCCCTTGTGACTCGGAGCCCCTCTAACCTGAGTCTCTCTGCCCTGCTAAACAGGGTCTCCTCTCTCGGACACTCAGAACCTTTTGCGGGCTTGAATGGCTCTAGCAAGGGTCCTCAGAGGGGGCCCCTAAAGTGGATTTACACCATGACCTACATAGCAGTCTCGCATGACGTGGCTTTGCTGGCCTCTATTTTTCCCTCTCTTCCCCTTATCCGGCCTGCTGGCTTTTCTTTCTTTTCTTTTTTCTTCAACACACCAAACTTGATCCTACCTCTGGGCCTTTGCACCGGCTGTTCCCTCTGCCTGGAACACGATTCCCTGGATCTCTCTCAATTCTCTGGAGTCAGCGGCATTGCGTCACAAATGCCAGGAACTTGACCCACGCACACTCCTTCTGGGGCGTCCAGCAGGCACCTCAGACTTCCCATGGCCAAAACCAAACTCCTACTCCAGCCCTGCTCCTTCCTCATTGTGCCCTATTTTGGCCAAGAGCCACTGCGTCCACACCGCCACAGTCCCTCAGGCTAAAACCTTGGAAATCCGCCCCCACCCCTTTCCCTCTCTCCTGCTTCGGTTCTTGCCGTTCTTCCAGATGCGACTTGCAGATTCTGTTCAGATTCTGACCATTTCTTCCCAGGGGCCTGCCCCGGCACTGCTCCCCTGGACCCTCGCCTCCCACGGCTGCTCATTCCCCCACCCCTTAGTCTGTTCTCACCTCCGGGGTCTGAAGATTTTTTTAAAACTTAAATTGGACCACGTTTCCTCCCTGCTCCCTGGCTTTCCCTTCACGCTTAGATTAAAAAGCAAACTGCTTACCCTTCCCCATCCCCACCTCCCCACCCCCTCCACACCGCACCCCGGGAACCTGCAGAGCCGTGGATAAGCCACCCCTTCTGCCCCTTCTGATCCTGCTTCCTCCCTCTCTGCCCCTTGCTTGCTCTGCTCTGGCCACATGGGCCTCCTTGCTGTTCCTGCAACTTACCAGCCACAGTCCTGCCCCAGGGCCTTTCCACGGGCTGTTCCCTCTGCCTGGAATGTTCTTTCTCCATATCTTCCTTCCTTCCCATGACTGGCTGCTTCTTCCCATTCAGATTCCTGCTCAAATGTCACCTCCTCTGAGAGGTCTTCTCTGACCACCCTCGAAAAGCAGATTTTCTCTCATCTCTTCCCTACCCTCTATTGCCGCTCCTGATTCCTTTTGTATCAAGATTCTCACTTCACGCCTTCCTGCGTGTCTCTCCCCCAGACTGTCAGCTCCATGACGGCAGGGGATTTTATCTTATCACAGTCACCTCTGCATCTGTGTCCACAGTGTCCAGCACAGGGCCTGGCACACACAAGGCGATATTTATGTGGCTGAGAGCTGGAATCTCACAAGTGCTGAGAGCCTTACACCCATTTCACAGATGAGGCTGTTGATCACCTTGGAAAGAGCACCCAGATAGCAAGGTTTCAAACACACATACACACTCACAACCACACACTCACCTCTTCTGTCCCCCAGCCTTGCAAGGAGCCACAAGCCTGAGTGTGCAGCAGGGGCCCAGGTTTCTCCAGGTGAGGCAGGACAGCCAGGTGACCTTGGCCTGCCAGGTGGTGCTCACTCAGGCCTGGGAGCAGCTTCGTGTCTGGTGGACCAAGGACCTTGACGTCTTGTGCGGCCTCCTCCTCCTCACCAACGGCAATCTCAGCCTGGAGGACTGTGGGCCCCAGGGATGGCTTTCCTGGCGGCCCCCTGGCAATTTCACCCTGCAACTGGACCGCGTGAGCCTCAGAGACAGTGGGAACTACGTGTGCTGGGCGGCCCTGGAGATTCCTGAGTTGGAGGAAGCTGAGGGAAATGGGACACAGCTCCTGGTGGAAAGAGGTATGACAGTGCGTGGCAGGCAGAAGCAGAGATTTGGGACTGCTGGAATCTGAAGACTCTAGAATCTCAAACTCCTGGCCACGTAAACTCTAAATTCTTTGAGTCAGATCCTTAGGACCGGAAATCCCGGAAACTCAAGTACATTGAATTCTAGAATCCCAGAACCAAAGGTACATGGGAAGTTATAATTCTAGACCAGGGCTTAGCAAACATTTTCTGTAAAGGGCCACATAGTAAATATTTTCTGTTTTGTGGACCACATGGTCTCTGTTGCAGCAACTCAGCTCTGCCGTCATAGTGCAAAAGCTGCCGTAACGTATGTATAGCAATAGACAGACTGGGTTCCAATAAAACTTTATTAAACAAAAAAACAAAAACAAAAACAGGCAGTGGGCCGGATTTGTTCTGCAGTCTGTAGTTTGTTGAGCCCTGTTCCAGAATATCATATTCATAGAGACTCTTGAATATATATAATTCTGGAGTTTGGGTTAAAAACAATCCCAGAATCTTTTTTTAAAATGTTATTAAAGTATATCTTACATACAGAGAAACGCACACGCTGTCAGGGGCCAGCTCAATGGATGTCCTAATCCATTTGGACTACTGTAACAAAATACTGCAGACTGGGTGGTTTATAAACAACAGAGATTTATTTTTTAATTATTCTAGAGGCTGGGAATCCAAGACCCAGGTGCCAGCATGGGTACGTTCTGGTGAGAACCATCTTCTTGGTTCACTGACTGGTGTCCTCTCACTGTGAACTCACATGGAGGAGGGGCGAGGGGGCTCTCTGGGATCTCTGTCATAAGGGCACTGATCCCATTCACCCTCAGGACCTAATCTCCTCCAACGCCTCACCTCCTAACACCATCACCTTTGGGGCTTAGGACTCAACATATGAATTCTAGGGGGGCATATTCAAACCATAGCAATGGATGTCTGCAGCCTGACCTCACCCATGCACTCACCACCCAGCTCAAGAAAGATAGTATTTCCTGCCTCCCAGACACCATTCTCATGCCCCCGGATAGATAGTCCTCAACACACAACCACATGATCTTGACTTCTGGCAGCATAGATCTGTTTTAGCTGGTTTTGTATTCTATTTAAATAGAATCATAGAGATACTCTCTTTTGTGTCCGGCTTCTTTCACTCAACATGTTGTCTGCAAGATGCGTGCATGTTGGTGTGTATAGCTAAGGATCATCCTTTTTCCTTGCTGTAGAGTATTCCACGGTGTGCCTCTACCACCATTTATCAACCCAATTTCCTACTGATGACCGTTGGGCAGCTTCCAGTTTGGGGATATTATAAATAAGGCTGCTATGAACAATCTAGAACTTGTCTTTGGGTCAACATATGTACACATGTCTGTCATTACCTAGGATAATTCTAGAATCTCAAACCACAGAATAGAATTTTGCAGTTCTAGAATGCTAGGGACCTAAAATTCTAGGCTCACAGAATTACAGCATACATTCTCCGTGGGGAATATCAACCCAAATGAGGCAAAAATTGGTGCTTGGGGGGGGGGCAAAGAAAATCTTACTATTTTTACATATAAAGCATTGACAGTTCATAAGCAGATTTACAGTATAACTGGTATTAAAATTGCATGGGGGAAAAATTAGATTATAGAAAGTCTCTTTAGGAAGGCAATAATGAAAAAAGGTTAAGAAACACTGATATAAAGGATCAGACAATTCTACAATCTTAGAATTGTAACGTCTTTAAATATTTAGATAGACTCCTAGAATTTTGTAGTCTCAGAGTATGTAAGAGCAGAGAATTCTAGAACTCTAGAATCCAGGATTAAAAGCCCTTGACTCTCAAGGGTGGAAGGAACTTTCTAGATCAGCTAAGCCTGCTTCCTCATTTTACAGATGAGAAAGCTGAGGCCCAGAGAGGACCAAAACATGTCCTGCCACGCACACAAGCCAGGATGCAGCTGCTTTCTTGAGAGCCCGGCTCACACACTCACCCCACTGTGTGTGATGACCTCTTAGGGGACAAAGCGTGCCTAGGGGCTGGTGATCCAGGCTGACCTGCTGGGGGTCCTGTTCTCTTGATGGTTTCTGAGGGCCTCAGACACATGCCTGGAGCCATCAGGGAGAACGGAGGCAGCCCCGGGTCCCAGCCCCAAGAGATGCCCCGCTCCTCTCCAGCTGGCAGGCCCCACCCACTGCCTGCCTCTGGGGGGCCGTGTGTTTTGACTGTCTTGCCCACCCCCCAATGCGGAGAAGGCCAATTACCAATTAGCAGAAGTGGGTAGTGGAGGCGCCAGGCTGTGCGTTGTTGCCAGCTGCGAGGGAGCGGGTGGGCATGGATCCAGCTTTAGCCCAGCTGGCTTCCCCGACCCCAAACAGCTGCTCAATAGCCCCCAGGGACCGCCGCCAACTTTAGACCCTGCAAGACGAAGCGGTCGGGGGTGCTGGGCGTCATCTTAGTCACAGCAGAAGGAGCCTTTGCCTGGGGTTCATGTTCGTTATATAGACCCGGAAGCATGTCCCCACTCTACCGTTCACTTGCTGTGTGCCCTTGGGCAGGTAACTTGATCCCTCTGTGCCTGCTTCCTTGGTTATCAAAATACAGCTAATAGTGCCTTCCTCATCAGGTTAGGTGAATTTAAAGTGATTACATCTAAAGAATTTATTACAGGATCTGGAATACTCAATAAACATAAGTAGTTAACTATTATGTCTACAGTGCTGATTATTCAGCAAGACTCAAATGTCCAGGCCAGTGTAAGCGGTTTTGTTTATTTCTGAAACAGGGAAGGAGAGGCCAGTGAGGCGATCAATGCCTTTGTTCAAAGCAGGGCCCAGCTGCTGCCTGGGTGTGTGACCCCAGGCAAGTGACTTCGGCTCTCTGGGCCTCGGTTTGCTTCTCTGTAGAATGGGTTTGCACAGAGTAGGGCTCAAAGCACAGGAGCCATGAGGACGAGGGACCTCATGACCAGGATGCCAGAGCTCGTGGTGGGGATGGTGGAGCTCAAGATGAGCTCGCGCTCAAGCTGACAGAGCTCCTGACGATGGTGATAGGTAGGGGCTGAAGGTGGGATTGACAGGGCTTGTGATGGGAATGGTGGAGCCTATTGTGGGGTGATGGGGTTCATGACAAGGACGGGGGAGCTCATGGTGGGGATGACGGCGAGGGTCATGGCGAGGATGATGGAGCTCAGGACCAGGGTGATGCAGCTCCTGATGAAAAAATCCAGTTGCCAGTCATTTCACAGTGAGCCAGCAAAGGAGGAAACAGGGTCAGAGGGAACACCTGCCGGAACGCCCACAGCCGGCAATGGCAGGAACCCTGAGGTCCTGCATGGGGCTAGGGGGGCTTTAGCCCTGAAGGGAGCAGGAGGCTGGACGGGACATGATTCCTTTCCTGCAGATGGCTGGCTGACGAACCCGAACCAGATTCGTTTCCCAGGTGAGCCCCGCCCGCGCGTCCCTCCTCCAGCTCCGCCCCTGCCCCGCTCCCACCTGACCGCCTCCTACCCTACCCAGCCCCCAACCCAGGCCTTCTCCTCGCGCTGCTGGTGGCCGGGGGCGTTGCCGTGGCCGCTGTCGCGCTGGCCGCCTGGATCTGGGGCCGCCGCCGCTGCGGGCAGCAGGAGACACGGAACCGTGCAGGTAGCCGCGGCCCCCGCGTGGCGGATGCGAGAACTGCAGCCGTTCGGCAAGGATTGAACGCAGCCCCCACCTGCCCTTCTGGAAGGAGGAAGGGTGGGGCTGCGGGGTGCAGAGAAGGGGGATAGATGGGGAGGGCTGGCCCTGCACCCGTGGGGGGGGGGGCTGGAGAGGGCCAAGATCTGTTAAGTGACAGTTCCCTCTTGGTTTTGTCATCCGTCTCACCCCACGCAGGGAATGCCCTCTACAGCAACGTCCTGTACTGGCCCCCGAGGGCCCCAAAGGAAACTGAGACATGGCCTGTGGAGGGGAAGGCGCTGGACATTCCCAGGGAGGGCCAGAAAGGCCAGAGCTTCTACTCCGTCTCTTTCTCCCAGCGCCCCAGCCCCCAGCAGCGTCAGGCCCCCAGACCTTGCCCCGGCCCCAGCCCCAATCACCCCATCTCTACCGGCGGAGTGTCTCCTGGCCCAGGCCCCTCCGACAGCCAAGGCCAAGAGGGTTCCCTGAACTGAGAAGAGGAACGGAGACTCTGGGGACCCGGACAGGGGCCCCCGGTGGCCACACGAAGCCGCGACTGATTCCAGGGGGACTGGGGGGCCCAGCAGCCCAGCCCATTTCTTTCAGGGAAGGCCCCTGTCTTCATTTCTGTGGCGCTGGACCTCTCGCTTGCCCCCAGCACACTCAATAAAGGCTTGTAGAGAAAGCAAAGCTAGGCTTTGTGGCGATTTGGGGGTACTAAAGAGATTTAAGGGGTCACCTGGGTGTCCCAGAGGGGTCTCCGTGATGATCCTCCAGCTTTCCTCTCTTTTCTTTGGAGGGACGTGTCCAATTAGCAGAGAAGTAAGGCCCCCAGCCCCCAAGCAGTGCCCTGAGCTGTAAGTGACCCCCTCCAGCTGGTGTACCCTCCCAGGAGAGAGATGGGAGCTCCCTGTCACTTCTCAGCTCCTGGGGTCTCCTGTCCGACTGTCACCTTGAAGTGACACCAACTGGGCCCGCCCCCCTCGCCCACGCTGCCGTTTCCATGGGGACAGATGTCCTTTCTGCGCAGCAGCCTCCGCTGCGCGGGCCCTGCGAGGGAGGGCCGAGTGGGGTGGGGCTGCCTGGAGCGCCTTGCCCCTCAGTTTCTCCATCTTTGTATCTGCGGGTCTCCAGCGTCTCTGGATTTTCCTTTGCCTCTTTCCCTCTCTCCCTGCCTTCCTCTAGCTCTGAGCTTTGCTTACTGCCTGTGAGCAATTCGGGCGCCAACCCCAGCCCCGTCCCCAAACGAGGAGTGGGGACACCCTTCCCCTTCCCAGGGCCTGGATCCCTGCCGCCCAGAAAGGACATTTGAAACGCACAATAACATTTATTTTCCAGGCCAGCGGAGGGCTTCAAGGTGCAATTCTAGGCCCTGAAACCCAGAAGGGGGCCGAGAAGGTGGCTCTGGTGAAGACCCGGAGCCTGGACGGGGAGGGGGTCTCCCCCTCAGGCCTCCGGGCCCGGAAGGATGCCCGGCGGTTTGCAGCCGGCAGCACAGAGACCAGAGGTGGTCAGGGGCTCTGCGTGGCCACCGGGTACAGCAGGGCCAGGTGCTCGGCGCCCTGCACGGGCAGAGGGCGGGAGCTGTAATGCAGGACAAGCTCAGGCACGCTGGCGAAGGGACCGCTGTGCTGCCCCAGCACGTACTGATTGTCTCGGGTCCGGGCGAACTTCAGGTGCAGGAAGCCCTGGCTGCTCCTGCAGACAGGTGTCACAGGGGGCTTTCGGCGCCCCAGACCCACTCCAGCCCTAAAGCCACCCCCTCGTGGCCCCCAGGAGCCAGGGACTGGCATCCCAAACATTTCCGGTACACATTTGGGGCCAAGCTGCTGGCATGTTCCACACTAGCAGGGACGCACCCCACGCTCTCCGCTTTGGAGGCAGGCTGGGGGTCCTCGTGGGGGGAGGTCCCTCTCCTGGAACACAGACTGCACTTGCTCTCCAAACATCCTGATGCCTGCGCTCCCCACTAGTTTAACCACCCCCAGTCTGGCGTCCCTGTCCTTTTTCCATCCCTGGTGGATGGAATGATCTCGAACTTGAGAATTTTATCATCGTCATTAATAAGAATCAAGCACTCCCTCTCTCCTGGGCACTATTCTCAATCTTTTTCCGCGTACTTTTTTTTTTCCCATTCAATCATCCAAGTATTACCATGAAGTAGATCTTATTAGTATTCTCGTTTCACAGATGAGAAAACCGAGGCCCAGAGAGGTTGAATGATTTAGCTAAGGTCACACAGCTAGCAAGTGGCAGAGGCAGGATTTGAACCCTTCTCCAAGCCCTCAACCATCTTGGGCTTTTAGGAATCTCACACCCAGATGCCTAGAATAATCTTAGAAGTGGTTTTATAATCAGACACTTAGAATTATAGGCAGAGAAGTGCACAGAACCAGGGTCTCAAACTCAAAGGCCTACAGAGCTACTGAGATTCTAGCCCCAGAAGCACACAAATGGATATACTTTAACTTTTGGACTGAAAAAGTCCAAAGGAAACATCTGGTTTCCCATCTCACCCAAGTCCTAGATTTACTGTATGGCTTCCACGCCATCTTCTTGCATACCTCCAGTGACAGGGAGCTCATTCTCATTGGAACCATGTTTTTGGCCTCCCTGGAAGCCCCGCCCGCTGGTCCCGAAGCCCCACCCACTGCCTGCTGGCGCCACACCCCTCTGCTCCCCCGGAACTAATAGGAAAACACGACACACGCGGTCCCGTGACCGTCTGTCCCTCCCGGGCCAGGGTTCTCACCTGAGGGACAGGGAACAGTCCTGCGGGCTGGTCTCGCTGAGCCGCACAAGGTAGCTGCCTTCTTTGCAGAGCGACAGGAGGTTCTCGGCGTCCGCCCGGCTCAGCGGGCCGTGGAACCACCTAGGGGTTCAGGGGAGGTGTCTCACGAATGGGACGATCCGCCTTCAGACCCACTCTGGGGTCTGGTGCAGGAACGGCTGGTCCAAGGACTTGTGATCTCCAGGCAAACAAGCAGGAAAGATTCCCCTGGGTTTCTCAGGGGAGCCTGGTTATCAGGCAGACCCGGCTTTCTCGGGGAGGCGGCAGCTGCTCCCTCCCTGACCTTGATTTCTAGAGCCTCCGCGCGCGCAGGGTCCTCATGGTGCTCGGATGCCCCCCGCGCTCCCAACCGGAATCACTTGTGTATCACTTTCCTATTTGCCGCATCTTGTATCCTCACCCACTTGTACCATTTCTTAACCGAGTATATCTTTACTGTGCTCCGACAGGTTAGCAGTTGCAAGCAAGGTGTCAAAGGCAGATGAGCACCAGACTTGGTGGTGGTTTGTATTGAAAGAAAATGGAAAAGAAGATAAACACCCCCCCCCCCCCGTGCGTCAGTGTTAATCAGTTCTAATGTATGGCCCACCTAAGAGGTTTGGGAACGACTGTGATAAACACACACGGGCTGGGCTCCAGGGGCTTAGGGAGTTCCTCCAGGAGCTCCTAGGCCGAAGAGGCACAGAGAAGAAGACCCAGACCCTTCCATTCTGGGTGCCTCACCCCTGCCCCAAAGTTGGGACCCCCTCAAAATCCTGAGGCACACAGTTCCATCCCAAGATCTCCTAGGGGCAAGGATGTTTGGGTTCTGTCTCTTTGCCCTCAGGCTTTGCTCTAAGCCCCACCCAAGTGCAGACTTACTCTGAGCTAAGGCACCACCTTGGCGGTTTTGAACCTAAGGCTCAGAGAGGTTAAGTGACTTGCCAAAAGCCACACTGCTAAGAGATGAAGGGTGGAGATTTCAACCTGGAACCTGATGCCGGAGAGAAGGTAACTCCGTCTGATTTTGCATTGCATCTAACTAGGTGTGTAGCACACAGTAGGTGCTGGTGCCCCATGAAGATTAGTTGAAGAAATGAATGACGTGAATGAATGAATCGAAGTTCCTCCAGACGCCCCAGTCAGAGGAGTCTAGCTGGTATGAGGCAGTGAGGGATTCAAGATGGCTCTTTCATCCTCAGCTTCCCCACTCACGGCTGTTTCTCCACGGGCAGGGCTGGGTCCACGCGCTCTGCGGACTGGGGACTTCTGGGCAGGGGTCTCCGGAGCTCCTTGCCTGAGCCCGGGGTCCTTTCCCACTCTGGACTGTCAAACTGCACTGTGGGGGTGGTCAGAGAGAAAAGGGTCAAGCGTCACCTGGTGGGGGCAGGGACGGGGCAAGAGCAAGCCAATGGATTCTCAGCATGAAGGGCATGCCAGCTTGGGACAACCTATCAGAATCCAAAAGAGAAGGGTTGGGTCTAAGGCTGGGGCAGGATTGGCTCAGGAGCAACCAATTGGCTTCAGAATGAAGAGGCGTGGTCATATCTAAGTCTGGTGGCATGGAAGGGCAGTTGGGAAGTTTATGGCCAAGCCACGAAGCTAGAAAACCACCCCCAGTGTGCAGACAGGAAGACTGAGGTACTGAGCCTCGATTTTCCTCCCAGTCATACAACTTCTGGGGCAAAGCTGGGTTTGCACCACTCTTCCTGGTCCCAGGTATTTGTTTCTTAAAGCTGACCTTGTTACTACCCCTTTTACAGAAGAGGAAACAGGCTCAGAGTCTAGTCCAAGCTTACCCAGCTCAGGAAGGAACTGACCCCAGGTCCGCCTAATGAGAGCTACTAAGAAACGCTACCCTCTCAGCTCTGGAGTAATTGAGCATTTTCTAGCATTCATTTTACAAACACCCTGTTTGTAAGGTACTATAAGGACCCTTATTTTATAGGTAAGGGAACTGAGACTCTGATAAAGTGACATAAACCCAGGTCCAGTCTGACACTAAAGCCTCTCCCTGCACTGTACTGAGCAGAATGAGACGTACTGCACTCTGATACATTTGAGTTTATGAGAAAGATCCTGGGAAGAGAAATTTGTGACTATCAAGTCATTCACTCTAGTGAGAATTAATGAACTACCAATGCAGCAGGTGACTGGGGTCTCCTTTTTAAGTTGAGACAAGGGGATATGGCCAGAGTAGGAAATAAACACGGGCATTCAGGGCCTGGAGGGTCAGGGCCTGGGCCAGAAAAGCACCTGCAAATGCCTTGGAGATGTGGTCTTTCTTCCACTCCCAGGGCTGGTCGTACTCGTCTGCTGGCCGCTCATCGTCCTGGGGCATCCGGCTCTGGCGAGGCCGCCTCCCGGAAGCGGGGCCTTCTCCCAGTTCGGAGTCCTGCTCCTCATAGGGAGTGTCATACAGCTGCACCCCTTTGCAGGGAAATTCTGAGGCCAAGAGCACTGGTCAGCTGCCACTTCCCCCCAGGACCCTGCCACCTCCCCCCAAGGCCTGGCCACTCACCACTCATGACCCGCTGGGCATCGTAGGGCTCCATGTAGCCATCATCTGGGGGTGGTGGGTGAGGCTGGGCATCAAAGGGCTCTGAGTATTCAGTGTCCACTTCTGACTGGAGGGGAATGGGAGGGAGGAACAAGTGTTCAGGGCAACCGAGCCTCGCTCTGGTACCCCTGCTGGGCGATGGTGCACCTCTCTGGGCCATCTGACACATCCCCTCCAGCTGTTCTGTTTTGGGGGGTAGTGAGTCTTGTCTACCGCCGGTAAGTGCAGACGGATCCCAGCTTCCCCGGCTCTCTTCCTCTGTGCTGTCCTGACCTCCCCGATGCAGACCCTGCCTCCCTTATTCAGTAATTTCAATGTTTATCAGCTGGCAGCACTGTTCTAAATGCTTTACATATATTTCCTTGTCATACCAACCCTCCATAAGTACATTATCCCTTTTCCAGATGGGAAAACTGATGCACAGCGAGGGTAAGCACTTGCTCAGGGTCACACAGCTGGTAAGAGGCAAGTTTTGAGCCCAGGCTGTCCGTTTCCCTGAGTCGCAGCCTTCTCCTACTTTGCTCTTTGCTCTTAACCACTACCCAACACAGCCTCTTGCAACCCTCCTCAAATCCTTCTCTGTCTTCACTAAGGGTTTGGGGTCGACTCCCTGATTGTCTAGAAAAAATACTGGAAAAAGCATGGGCATTAGAGGCAGGTCGGGGTTCAAGCTCTAATGCGCTAGGGCCACGTGACCTTGGGCCAGTTCCTTGGCTTCCGTGAGCTTCAGTTTCCCCTGCTGTAAAACGGGAACAGAGGATGGGCAGAGTAGTGGGGAAGGATGCTGGGTGCCGGGTAGGGGAGTGACTCAGTCGGCCTCAGGAAGACCCCTCCGGCTGCCAGGACAAAGCAGAGCCAGAGAGGTGGGGAGAAACCAGCGCTGGGCGCTGAAAGGGGCCAGACTGGGCCCCACCAAGCAGGTGGAGGACGGGGGAGCGTGCCGCTGATGCCCTGGCCTGCCCCCGGGGTCACATGTTAAACTAGCTCCCCAAGGCCGAGGGCGCCCAGCCCGCCCTCCCCACCCAGTCTCCCGGCACCACTCAGCCTGGGGCTTCAGCCACGCACCTCTTCCCCGGCGCTGCCCAGCAAGACCTTCGCCCTGGCCATGTCCGCCGCCTCCACCTTGATGAGCCGGTGCTTGGGAGAGTCATACTTGGCGTCTCCGGGGCCCCTGGAGTCCGAGCGGCCGGCGGGGTCCGGCTCCGGGCGGCTGTCCGCGTCCTCGTAGGGGTCCTCGAAGTCCAGATCCTTCTGCTCCCGGTAGGCCCGCAGGATGTCGCTCTCGGTGTAGTCGGGGGTGGGCGGCTGCGGAGGGGGCCTCCGGCCGCCAAGGCTCAGGTAGTCCCGTAGCCACTTGGCCATTTGGGCGCGCGTCACCCCGAGCCTGGCCTCTGTCAGGAGGGGACTCACATGCCCCCCTCCGGGCCCCCTCTCTCTGCAGAGCACCCAGGGAGGAGGAGGAGGACCAGGTGTGCCCCTTGGCTGCGCCCAGAAGAGGGTGGAGAGGAGAGAGGAGGCGACGGGGGCAGAGGAGCCCGGCTCTGGAAGGACGGCGGGGGGCGGGCGCGCCCGGCAGGGCCCAGGACGCAGGGCACGGGGTCGCGCGGCCAGCGCGAGGGGCATCCGCGGAAGCGCGCGGAGTTCCCGCGGGCGGCGCGGTCCCCGCGCACGGCTCGGCAGCTCGCCGCCTCCGGGAAGCTCCGGGATTCCCGCTGGGGTCCGCGACAGCGCCGCCTGCGGCCGCCCCCAGCCCTCGCTCAGCCCGGACGCCTGGGTTCTCAGCGCAGCGGGCGGGCTCCCCCGGGGCGCGGGTGCCGCGCGCAAAGTTGGGCCGCGGGGACAGTGACCCGAGCGCGGCGCACCCTTTGTTGCGCTCCTCTCCGCGCCGGGGGGCGCCCCAGTCCCGCGGTCCCCGGCCCGGCCGCCTCGATCCGGCCCCAGCCACCGGCACAAAGGGAAATAAAACCGCCTCCAATCCCCCTTCACGCTTCCGGAGAGACTTGACCCGCCGCCGCCGGCGCTCGGCCGGGAGGTGGGACTCTGAGGAGGGGGCGCGCAGACGGACGCCCCAGCGCCTACCGGCCCGGGGCAGCGACGTCAAGGCTCCCCCGCCGCCCCGCCCCGGCGTCCCCGCCCTCCCCCCCCCCCGGAGCTCAGGGAGGGAGGGAGGGGATGCGCCGGGGGCCGCGGGGCCGGGGCCGCGGCAGCTGGACGCTGACCCGGAGCACCGAGGCTGGCGGGAGCAGGCGAGGGGCGCGGGACGTGGGAACCGACAGCGCTGGCCTCGCGCGGTACCAGGTGGGGAGCGGGGGGGGGAGGCGGAAATTGACCTCGAAATGGGGGGCTGGACTTGACCGCAAGAAGGGGTGAGAGCGGCCACTACTGAGGGTTGAGATCGAATCACTGGCGGCGAAACGGACCAGGAGGTGGGGGTGTGGGAATTGTCCCAGAGGTCACTGGCTAAAATTGGTATTGACGCAGCCAAAGGGATGGGGAGGCAAAGGGCGGGCCAGGGGTCTGGCTTCCCCTCCCCGGAGAGGGCCCTCCGCTGTGCCCCCTCCCCAGGGGACTACTTGCAGCAAGGGGGAGGGTCGGAGCAGCTGGCCAGGGGAAGGGAGATGGTATCTGTCCCTGGCGCGTGTCCTCAGCATCTGTCCCTTTGTGGCTTCTGGGGGTGGAGGCAGGGAGGGGGGCAGAACCGAGAGGGGGTCTCCCCTGCCCCGACTGCCTGTTGGCGGTGAGGCCCTGCAGCTGTCTGGGGTGAGGACCCTGAGAGGCCTGGGGGCAGAGGGCTGCCGGCTAATTCCAGAGCAAACACATTTTTCTTTCCACCTACGCGGGCTTGCTCAGTTCCCCCTAATACTGGAGTCACCCAGATTCCCTTCTTCCACCTCAGGGTGGGCTGGTACCTAAGGCTTGGAGGGCAGGGGGCACCAGCAGAATTCAGAGCCGACACTGCTGTGACCTGCCTCCCAGAACAGCGGGGCTGGGGCAATGTCTGCATAGACTGCACCTTGCTTTCCTGCCTCGATATACCAGGCTTCTAATACGAAAAACCTGGAAGTGTTCTTTTTTTTCCCGGTGAGCAAACCAAGGCACAGAGGGGGGAAGGACTTGCTGCGAGCTGCCCTGCCGGTCATTGCCACCTGGACGCCACGATGTGGCCCTCAAGACCTCGCAGGATCTCTACACAGAACCAGCGGCCCTCTGCCCATTTCCCAGGTGGGGAACCTGCGGCCAGGAGCGACCAGGCAAAGCCTCTCGGGGCAGCAGGGGCTCCCAGATGCCCTCCTCTCTCCTGCTTCGGCCGGGCCCCCCAGCTCGAACCTGCTGAACTCGCTCTCCCTCCCCAAGTACACTCACCCTCGCTCCCCGCGCCCCACCCTCCCAGATCAGTGACAAGGGGCTTCCCTGGGGGGCTGCTGGGCGCACGGGGTAATAGTCCTGGTTTCTGTCTGCCGCAAGGCAATTCCCAGCTCAGAGAAGAGCTGTTGACAGATCTCATCGAATCCGAGTCCTCTCCCTGTCGGATAAATAGGAGACGTCTGCGGTATAAATATTTGAAAGGGGCCTTCTAATTACAGGGTGTGTGAGGAATAGCAATTAGAGGCCCCGGAGGCAGAATCAAACGGTGTTTGACTTCCCTGCGCTTTTGAGCTGGCTTCTCCTGGGGCTGCCCGCACCCCACCCCAAGGAGAGGGGCAGGGAGGGGGCTCGGGGGCTGAGGAGAGCTGGGCAGGACCTGGAATGGCCATAGATCCTCCTCGGTTTTGGCTTTCTGAGATTGGGAGGTGGGGGGCCAGGGAGCCAGGCCGGGAGGGGGCACCGCATGGACAAACACGGGCAGGTGGGGTGGTCTGGGGGTCCTGGGCCGAGGGACCTCCCTTCTCCCAGCACTCTGGGTCTGAGAGGCAGTTTATCAAAGGCATCTCGGGCTGAGGATGTTTCTGGAATCCCAGCCTGCTTGACCTCGGGTAATCGTCTGGACTGTTTGCCCACCTGTAAAACGGGGGGCAGGGGAATACATAACCTGTTGAATGCTTACTGCCACGTACTGTTGGGGCTGCCTTTTATTTTGTGAGGTACAATTCACATACCTAACAATTTACCCACATTTCGGTGGGTTTTAGTATGTTCACAAGATTGTGTACCCATCACAAATTCCAGAATATTTTTCATCACCCCAAAAAGAAACCCCATACCCAACTGGCAGCTACTCTCTATTCTCCCCAAATCCCCAGGCCCTGGCAACCTCTAATCTGTCTGTCTCTGCGGATGTGCCTGTCCTGGATATTTTATATAAATGGGACCTCACACTGTGTGTGGCCTTCTGCACTGGAGTCTCTAAGTCCACCCATCTTGCAGCGGGTGTCAGCGCTTCACTCCTTTCTACGGGGAGTCATATTCTAATGCGTGATAGGTAGGTGCTCGGAGTGGATGGGGGCTCAGAAGGGGCCAGAGGGGGTCCCTGGCTCGGGGCTGTGCCTGCCTCTCCCACCCTCACCCTTGTCTCATGGGGCAACCAGACAGGGAGCCTTGGCACGGGGTGCGGATGGCCCGTGGGGGGCCTAGAAACTCCTACTCCAATGGAGGTGACACGGCCCTGCCTTAGGGACTCCTAGTCTGACAGGAGAATCTCTGCCCTCAGAAGCTCTTAGACACAACCCTGCACTTTCTGAATAGTCTGATGGAAGAGACATGGTCTTGCCCTCAGAAGCCCCCGGTCTGATGGGGGAGATACTGGCTCCCCGACCTGACAGGGGAGGCATGACCCAGCCCTCTGAAGCACCTAGTCTGGGGGAGGGAGACGTGGCTCTGACTTCAAGGGCCCCCAGTCTCATGGAGGAAACAGGCTGATCTTCAGGAGTCCCCGGCGGATGGAGGTGGCATGAGCCTGCCTTCAAGGACCCCTGGTCTGACGGAGGAGACAGCCCCATCATCAGGTGTGTCAGTCTGGTGAGGGAGGCGCAGCCCAGCCCCTGCAGGGCTACCTGTAGTGGAGCACGGTGATCAAATACAGTCTTGGAGCCTTGCAGTTTCAAACCCAGGACCTGCCCCTCACACTCTGAGCCCAGGCCAAGGAGCTCCTTCCCCTGTAAATGGGACAAGGATGGGCGTGCACCCCGGGGAGCAGCAGGCAGGGGGCCTGGTGAGCTTGGTGCAATGCCTGGCCTGCGGGGAGAACCCTGGAAGTGGAGCAGCCCCATCTCCACTGTGCAGGTGGGGGTGGGCTCCAGCAGCCAGGCAGCCCCGGGGGAGGTGATGGAGGAGATGCCAGATGAGGCGCGACAGCTCCCAGGCCTGGATGGCAGACACTGAGCTGGCTTGTGGAGAGAGAGGCCTGGCAGCGGGGGTGGGGAAGGGCAGGCTCCAGGGGAGGAGGGGGAAGGGCAGGGAGGGGAGGTGGGCTGAGGCCCCGGAGGATCCACACACCCGACAGACCCAATGTGCTGCTGTCCCTCTGCTTGCTCCGACCTGGGAACCACCATAAGGGACCAAGAACAAGACTACGCCCAGGTCCTGGGCTGAGAAAATGAGGCTTAAAAGCCTGCAGAAAATTCAGAATTAAAAACCAATTGCTGTGGAGTGTGGAGGGGTGGCAGAGAGTGGCCAGAACCGTGGGGATCCCTGGGCCTTGTTTCCTTCATCTGTGAGTAGAGAGACACCCACTTAGACCACAAACATTCACTGAGCACCTACTATGTGACTGGACGGTTTTAGGTGCTGGGGACGTACTACCATACCCGCTCTTGTAAAGCTCATGAAGTATGGCAGGTAGACGACCCTCAGGTGGCCCCATGTAATTCCCTTCCCTTGAATGTGGCTGAGACCTGTGGCTTGCTTCTAACCAGAGGAACATGGCAAAGGTGACCCACTCTCCTGGTGTGGCCACAGGAAGCCCATTAGAGAGGTGTATGGGGGAAAGCAACTGAGGGCAGTCGCTGGCCAAGAGCCCGTGTGGCACTGAATCCTGTGAACAACTACGTGAGTGAAACCGGAAGCCGATCCTGCCGCAGTCGGGCCTTCCAATGAGAACCCAGCCCTGGCCGACATTGCAGCCCTGAACCAGAGAACTCAGCAAATCCACACCCAGCATCCTGCTGTGCTAGGCTGCTAACTTTTGGGATAATTTGTTGTACGGACCTAGTTAACCAATACTAAGAGAGACATGGGCAATAAACATGTTAAGAATACCAGGTAAATGACGGTAACAGATGGTGCCTGCACATGACAAAAACTGCAGTAGGTCAAAAACTATGGACGTTCAGGAAACATTTTAAAAGGAATCAGAACAAACCAGAGAGGCCCTAAGCCTCCCAATCCCTTTTCGGAGCTACTTAAGCCAGATGATGTATTTTAACCAACAGCCATGTCCCAGCCACTGCGTGGGTCAACAGGTGGTGGTGTGCTGGCAGGCCCGTGTCTATGCTGCATGTACTCCCACCACGGCCACAGAAATGATGGCTGAGCGCGGAATTGGGAAGACAGATGCGCCATGTACCAGGTCTCTGCCAGTATGAGCCGGCTTCAGCCTACCCGTCAGGGCTGCAAAACCAAGACCCGTCCACGCAGCCATGCCGCTGTGATGTGAGGCCCTCCACATTTGCATCAGCAGCCATGGCTGGATCCCAGGTGCCCCTTCATCTGTCGTAGCTAAGCACACAAATTATCGATAGACAGTGGGTCTCCAAAGCGGGGGCTTTTCATCCCCAAACTCTGAGGGTGAAACACACAAATCCTGATTAAATGCCAAACGCAGGTCGGGGTGTGTGCGCATGTGTGTGTGGGGAAGGCTGATGCCAGCAACGCGGGAGGGCTGGGAGGGAAGAGCTGGGGTTGGTCAGGTTGTGGAGGAGGCTGGTGGGGACGAAGGGCCTTCAACTAGAAAATACTGGAGAGTGGGAGAAGTACACACACCAGAGCTGAGATCTGGCACCCTTGAAAGGACAGGAGCATTGCAACCAGATTTACCAGCCGTGTGGCCCTATTAGCTATCTACTGCACAGCAGGTTTTCCCAAAACTTAACACTAAACAACACACATTTATTATCTTATAGTTTCTGAGCCTGGAATCCAGGGTTGGCTAAGCTGCATGGTTCCGTGGCCCCCTCCTTAGACACCAGCAGACAGAAGGTGGCCAGCTCCAGATGGTTGTGTGGTAGGACGGAATGGAGCAACTTGGGGGTGGGTGGGTCACCCACATACCACCACCCACATGCCTAAAACACAGCTGTGGTCTGCAGAGACTGTCCAAGAGAGGGCCGGAGGCTGCTCTGGGACGTCACAGCCCTGAGCTGAGTGACGTGAGGCAGCACTGTGAGCTGGGGGCCCCAGGCCCCTGAGGGCTGGGGGGCTGGGGGACAGGAGAGACCAAGTCCCTCGCTGAAGCCCTCGCTGGCCCCGCAGGCCTTGGGGTATGTTTACACAGGTCAGCTCGCGACTGGCGGGTGCCCAGGCTCCCTGCCCCGACCGACCACCAGCTAGGGCTGGACGTGTGACCCTTCTCCGAGGAAGGGCTGGGCAGGGGGTCTCAGCTGCTGTCCTCACTGTCCGAATACGCGCCCAGCTGGCTCAGGGAGGAGGTATTGGGCGTCCGGGCTGCGGGGTCAGCCACCTTCCCGTTCTTCACGGCGCCTGGGGGAGAGGCAAGAGGTAGCCCACCCTGCCTGGTCCCCGCAGCCCGCCTCTGGACAGCTCCGAAGGGCTGAGCCCAGGACAGGCTGGGAGAGTGCAGCCTGGCCTTTCCGGAGGGCGCCTGGCACAGCCCGTCATGGGGTTCAACCCACACCCTTTAGCCCAGCAACCTCACCTCTCAAAAGGGACCTAAGGAAGCCCCTGCCCAGGTGGGCAAAGGCTCCCAGGCCAGGAGGGCACCACAGATGGTGGCAACCACGCCCAGCCTAACATGCCACAGTGACCCGGCGGCACACCCTGGCTCCAGTACCTGCCCCTACTGGGCGGCCTTGGGCAAGGGGCTTCACCCCTCTGGGCCTCAGTCTCCTTGTCTGATAAATGGGGCACTAACTGTACTGATGGGGATGGCTCTGTTGAAAGTGTGCATCCTATGCAGGATCCCCTGCAAAGCCTGACACCAACAGCTCACAGAATCAGCACCACACTCCTAAGGTGGGTCCTGTTGTCATCCGCATCTTCCAAGACTGGGAACTGGGCGTGTGGAGGCATGGGGGATCTGCAGCCAGGCTGCTCAGCCCCGAATCCTGCTCTTACCCACCCCACCAGGCCGACCCCTGCCAGTTCCCCATGTCTCCAGGGTGGTGTCAGAGGCAGGGGTTGGGGATCCACACATATAGAGCTTGAGTCACACAACAGAGATGCAGACACCCAGGAGGGATGGGAGGTTGCAGCTGGGTGTCTACTGACATGGGAAGATTGGGAGGCCCAAGATTTGACATTTTATTTTATGGACTTCGGTGACTTAGGTTATAAAAACAGGCATTTGCCCCTTTTGTAATTAAAAGGAAAAAAGGAAACTTCATCCATCCCTTTCCCCTTATCTCACTGGGACTAGCCCTGGAGAGGGCACCATTCCACCCCAACCCTTGAAGAGCAGGGGGGGGACCTACTACCACCTGGTGGCCACCCAGGTCGCAGGACGCTGCTGCCACCTGGTGGCCACCCGCGTCGCAGGACGCTGCTGCCACCTGGTGGCCACCCGCGTCGCAGGATGCTGCTGCCACCTGGTGGCCACCCGCGGTGCTGCACTCAAGTCCCAGGACCCCTTGGGAACTTACCGGCGGTGGGTGCCTCCTGGCCCTGCTGGCTGCTGCTACCGGGCTCTGTTTTCTTCACTACAACCAGGCCTGACAGCACGGGCCTGCCGCCAAGGGTGCCGACACTCCGCTCCCAGCTCTCCACCTTTCTCTTGGCTTTTGGGGCCTGCAAGCAATGGGGGCACGTGACTGGGGGGGTCTGTCCCAAATCCCACCCCTTCTGGCTTCCCTGCTCCCAGTGCCTTGCGGAACCAGCTTCCAGAGGGATGAATATCATCCCCACTCCTCCCCGTTGTACTGATCAAGCTTCTCCCCTGCTCCAAACTCCTCTATGGCTCCGCATTGCCCTAGGGTTGGTACTCAGAGCCTCTGCCCACTTGCCAGCCCTCACATCCTGCACTTATACTTCCTAAATCACACCATGGCCTCTCACCTCCACACCTCCTGCCATGTCATTCCTCCACCGGAATGCCTTTCTCCTCCAGTCCACTGCTCGCAGAGTGGTGACAGGGACACGGTCCAGCTCAGAGAGAAACTAGCAATCACAGCTTAAGCCTTCTTATCTGGCACCACTGGACCCTTCTGTCAAACCCCATCACGGGTTGCCAGGCAGGCAGAATGCTGACAGTTACAACTATCTGCCCCCAGACCTGCCCATGCCAGCTGTACTCATCGTTAAACTAAAGCAAGGAAATAGAGGAGTGAAAAGACCTATGTTCTCATCAAGGTTACGGCAAAGGTTGGGAAGTCTCGAGAGGCACGCTGTGTAAAACACAACAAAACAGATTGCCACCGAATTAGGTCACAGCAAAAAAACTGTAAGAGATGCAGGGAAAACTCATAAAAGGTGACATTGCTTTGAAAGTAGCTTCAATCTCTTGCTCCACTTAAATGGGGAAAGAAAAAAGAGGACACTCAATGAATTCTGGGAGTGCTTTATGCAAGAAAGATGTTGTGAGAACTGTAATCGGGGGCTATATTCTCAAAGAAAATGTTCTGTTCTACATCAAAAGATGCCTGGACGAGGAGAGCACATGACCCCAAACCCACTCTCCTGACTGAATTCTCAGCCGCACGTGGCTGCGTCCATGAAAGACGATGTTTCACAGCCTCCACTGCAGCGGAGGTGGTCAGGTGGTTCAATTCTGACCAATGGGCTGTGAGCATGCATGTGTGCTCGGCCAAGGGTGGAGTGACCCTCAGCGTCCTCCTCCCCAGCTGTGGCCCCTTTCCAGTGGCTGTGCCACTGAGATGCCACAAAATGAGGGGGTCACCCCCAGGATGGCAGAGCAGGGGAAGGTAGGTGCCTGGGCCCCCGACGCTACAACGCCACCTTCCCTGTACCAGACAGCTGGGCACAACTGTTACGTGAGAGAAAAGTAACTTAAGTGCAACTAAAACTGTTTCTCTGGGTCTTGTCCAGGGCAGCCCTTCTGTCTAGCTAATACAGACCACAAATGTGTTCTGAAGTAAAAGGAAACACTTCTGGGGTGTCTTGTGTTATTTGTGATTTCCCACTTTAGCTCCCTTAATTTGACAAGGACGGCCTTGACCAGCCTGGATAAGACAGCTGTGGTACGAAATGCCAGTCGTGCACACGCCAAATCCTCTCCTTCCCTTTTCTGCCAGCCAGCACAGGCCAGCTAGACGATGTGGCTCCCAGCCTCCCTTGCAGCTAGATGTGGCCATGTGACGAAGGCTAGTCAAGGGGACTCAAGAGGAATGGAGGGGGGCTGCAGCTGAATCAGGCACTGGCGGGTGGCCCTCCAGTCATGGTCACTAGAACACAAGCAGGCTCTGAGCCAGCTGTGACCATGGAGCTGGAATCAATGCCCCAGGACAGGGCGCAGCAAGGAGATGGAAGGAACCTAGATCCCAGCTGACTGCATGGAACAGAGCTGCCTGGAAGTCCTGGGCCATCACCCCAGACTGTCATGTGACTGAGAAATATTGTGTTCTATGTCTCCCACTTTGAGGATCTCCTCATTTTAGCAGGTAAAGCAGGGGCTGACAAACTACTGCCCTGCAAGCCCATGACCTGTTTTTATAAATAAAGTTTTATTGGCACACAGGCACACGTACTCATTTACATAGGATCTTGGCTATTCTGTGTTGTGACAGCAGAGGAAAGGCTTTTTAACACAGATGTCAAGCTGACTCCTGGCTTACCCTGTCCCTGCCTAACCTCAGGGAGCCCCGCTCACCTCGTCCAGGATGGCAGTGGGGCCAGGCCGGGAGGCCGGCTGGGGCAGGGTGGCGGCAGCATCCTCCTCCGAGTCAGAGTCCTCCAGCAGTCTCCGTTTCCTGGCTTCCTCCACCAAGGCCCTGTGGGAGGGAACATGGGGCCTGGGGGTGTGTGCTGCAAGGGGATGGCGCCCAGGACCCCCTGCCTCAGTGGGCTGGCCCCAATGCCCTTTCCTGACCCTGCTAGTGAGGCATGGAGGTTCACACAAATTTCTTTTTAAAAAAAGTTCTTTGTCCACTGAGGGCAGGGAGATGTTAAGTGCTTGGATGCTGGAACCAGCCTGTATGGATTTGAACCCCGGCCGGGTGACCTTGGACGGGTCCATGCCTGGAGCTCCCTGAACCTCAGGCCCCCCCCCACTGTCACAATGACCAGATCAACCTCAGAACAGCACCCGTCTCGCAGGAGGTGCTCAGTAAATGCAGGCTCCTCTCAGGGCTATCGTATCACTGACCTGCCCACCTAATAGTACTGATGAGCTCCTACTGTGTGCCTGGCCCTGTTACAGACCCTGTGGACACAGGAGCCAAGGGCCCCATTCAGATTCTAAAGGAGCAGGAGGAGACAATATAGCAAGACAGGGTGAACCACCAAGAAGGTCTCAGAGAGCGGAAGGTGCTGTGCAGAAAAGCATGAGCACAGCAGGCCTGGTGGTCCTCCCGGAAAAGCACAGAACCTGGGGTGGTCCTGGGGACCCCAACGCAGATGCCACAAGACAGACAGTGAGAAATGGGGTGGGGGTGTTCTGGGGAGGCATCCCTGAGAAGGTGGTGCTTGAGGGAGCCATGGAAAGATCCAGAAGGGGGGGTGCTCCAGGCACAGGGACTGCCCTGAACAGGCTGCCAGGGCTCCTGGGACCCCGGAGCACAGCCCTCTGGCTGCCCAGCCCCACCGCCCACCCGGGGCCCGACTCACGCCGTCTCCCTCTCGTCCTCGTCCTGCGCCTGCTTCTGCCGCTCCTCCTCGGACAGGCGATGCTGGCGCAGCATGGCCTCAAAGTCCACGTGCGCCTGCCGCTGGTTCAGGTCCTTGAGCTCCTGCAGGTTCTCCAGAACCTCCATCTCCAGCTTGGAGTCCTTGGTTCGGTTCTCCAGCACCTGGTGGGCAGGACAATGCGGGGCTGAGGGTGCTGGGATCTCACCCTCCATGCACACAGCCTGGCCACGGGGGGTGCACCACAGGCGAGGACAGGACTCCCCACCCTGGCCCGTGATCCACACGGCCTGCTCCTTGGACAAGACCCAAACCGCAGAGAAGTTACTTTTCTCTCAAATAATTATTGTGCACAGGCAGCCAGGACAGGAAAGGATTTAAAGAAGACAACCTGAGGAATCATTCTGTGCCAGGGGCCAGGCTGAGATGTTTGCAAACACCATCTCATTAAACAGGCAAGGAAACTAAGGCTGGGAGGGGATGCCAGCCAGCCTAGGTCGTAGAGGTGGCCCTGGAGCCGGGCACGGCTGCAGGGGGGAATGTGGCCTTGGCTACTGCCTGGTCATGTGACCGTGTACTGACCTCCTGTTAGGTGGAAGTCACAGGTGACTTGAAAATACGTCCACAGACCTCTGACGCTGCTACCTTTAGACAACGGTACTCTGACTCGCTCCCACCAGGCAGTGACAGAATGATGGCGTGTCATTTGAGAATGGGTCACAGAAGGCACAGCAGCTTCCCCCTCACCCCCTCTGGGGAAGTCAACGGCTGTGCCACGAGGAGTCCTGAGCAGTGCTGCGGAGAGGCCCGCGGGGTGAGGAACAGCCCTCAGCCACCAGCCAGGCGAGGGAGCCAGCCTGGAAGCAGTGCCTCTGGCCCCCGTCGAGCCTTCAGAAGAGACAGCCCCAGCCAACAGCTTGCCTGCCACCCCAGGAGGGGCTCGGAGCTAGACCCAACCGTTGCTCCGGGATTCCTAGCTCCTGGCAACTGAGGGATAGATAATACCTGCTTGTTGTTTCACGTTGCAAAGTTCTGAGGTAACTTGTTATGCAGCAACAGCTAACCAATACCAGCGTAACAGCCCCCGGCTGGCCGGCGGAGAGGAAACTAAAGTAGCACAGTGACAGCACGGAGGTGGCCCCAGGCAACTGCAAACCCTCTCTAAGGCCCATTTCCCTCTCTGCTCTGCACGGCTGCTGAGAAAGCTGGATCAGATCTGACGGGGCTGGCTCAGGGAACACCTGGCAGAGGGATCAGGAATATCTAGATGGACATTAGGAGGGGACAAAGATGGTCTAATATTTCTGAGAAAAACAACAAAAATGTCCAATGGAAAATGGAATAACAATATCGACATTTATGAATCACTACATGCTAGGCCCTGTTCTAAGAATTTTACATCTATGAACTCACTTAAGTCCACAATGGTATGAGGAGGGCACAGTTATCAATCCCATTTTACAGATGAGGGTGCTGAGGCACAGAGAGCACAAGTGCCTTGCCCAAGGTCACACAGCAAGGACCTGTTCAAGAGAACTTTTCCTTCTGTATTTCTAGTCTTCATACCCAAGGGTCGCAGGAAACTTCTTGGATAACTGTGGGTGGCTGGCTGCAGGGAGAGCCTTGTGTTCGGAAGCTTAACTTCTGCCTGCTTGTATTCGTTTTCTCTTGCTGTATAACGTTTTGCTACCAGCTCAGGGCCTTCAAACACCACAGATTGTCTCACGTCTCTGTGGGCCAGGTGGCTGGCACACCATGCCTGAGCTCTGGGGCAGGGTGCCACCAAGCTGGAACTCCGGGGCTGTGCTCTCCTTGGTGGCCAGGGGCCTCTCCTGCGCTCACGTGGGTTGCCAGCAGAATTAAGTTCCTTGCAGCTGTGCAGCTGGAGTCCCCGTTTCCTGGATGGCTGTTGACTGGGGGCCATTCTCAGCTTCTCCAGCTGCCTACTGCTCCCTGTCACAGGACTCCCTTCCACAGCGTCACTCCTTGACATCTCTGATGTCCTCTGTCTCCAACCCTGGACCTAGATTAAGGGGCTCAGGTAATAGGCCAGGCCGAGGCGGGTAATCTCCTTTCCATGAGGTCGACGGTGCCATAACCTAAGCTAACATGACCTGATCACAGGAGTAACACCCTTGTATACACAGACCCGGGACTATGCGGGGCGTGTAGCAGGAGGTGAGGGTCTTGGGGACATTTCAGAGTCCTGCGCATGGCAGCCCCCACCCCATCACCCTGCCCAGGTACAGGGCGGGAGGGGCGAACACCTCCACCAGAACCCATGCACGTGCAGTCAGTGCCCGGCTCACCTTCATGGGGTTGTTGAGCTCCTCGTCCTCCCGCTCCTTCTGCACCCTCTTCTCCTCCTCCTCCAGGAGCTTCTCGGCCTGGAAGTTCCGCGTGGCTCCGTGCTCCATGGTGTAGTCTGTGTTTTCAGGGTCTGTCTGGGAGAAGGAGGGGCAGACATCAGCGGCTACATCTCTGAGCATCAAAAGCTGCTAAACAGCAGCCAGCGGCCTGGGATACCTTCTCTCCATGTTTTGCTCTTTCTAAAACCTTTTTTTTCTTGTCTTATTGCCTTGGCTAGTACGGTTCTAGAATTTCTAGTGCTCCCATCCCCTTTTTCAAAAATGCTGAACTCCCTAACACGGACTTCCAGAGCCTTCTTCATGTGCCCACCACCTCCCCGCAGCCCTTCGCCCTCCATAGGATTGCAAATAAAAGTCTCTGCGCTTTGCACGTGTCCTTTCTGATGCATCTGTATGTTACTAACTTTTGTCCTTAATGACAAATTGCGTATCAAGTATGCACAGGACATGCTATTTTTGTTTGTAAAATGGAGAGCTGAGATATAAACATGGTGCCCTGGATGAGCCCTGGAACAGAAAGATGACATTCTCAGAAAAACTGAAATCCACATCATGTCTGGAATTTGATTAACAGGAATATTCCAGTATGGGTTTCTTATGGTGACTGATATAAAAAGTGGAAGACACAGGCAGGAGGGAAGCTGGCGAAGGGCAGCCCGGAACATTCTGTGCTGTCTCTGCAACTTCTCTGTATATCTAAAAGTATTCCAGAAAAGAAAGAGCAAGGAAGAGAGCAATCTCTATGTGCATCTGTACACGCAGCACATTTCTTAAAAATCATTTAGGAAAGTTACAAGCAATTTCTGCTACGCGTAGGGACTGGCTGTGCAGAGAGGAGCAGGGACCAATTTTCTAGTGCTAATACTAGACTAGTTTGAATTCTGTTTTTACCACATGCACATGCATAATCCTAGTTATTTAGTCACCTGAAATTCACCAGAGAGGCCAATTTATAACAGTTTGCCATGTTTCCCTAGTTTTTAAAATACTGATGGGGATTGATATTTCAATATATATATATAACATTACAATTGAGACAGAAAAATCATTTTCTGGAAACAACCCCAATGTCCATCAGCTGACACATGGGTAAACAAAATATGGCATATTTATACACTGTAATATCATTCAGCCATAAAAAATAGAATGAGGCCCTGACACATACTATGATGTGGATAAACCTAAAAGACACACTCAGTGAAAAAAGCCAAACAAAAAGATAAATACTGTATGGCCCCAGTCATACCACACAAACCCATAGAGGCAGAAAGCAGGTCAAGGATTTCCAGGAAGTGGGGTGGCAGGATGGGGTGTGGAAGGGGAGTGGCTGCTAATGGATATGGGCCTTTTTCAGGGGGTAATGGCAATTTCCTGAAATTAGCTAGACATGGTAGTTCAGTCCATTGTGAATATTCTAGAAACCACTGAATTACACACTTTAAAAGGGCAAATTGTATCATTTGTGAATTACATCTCAGGAAAGCTGTTGTTAAAAAAGTAATCAAATAGGTCATTTTTAAAAATGTACTTTTGTTTGTTTTAAACAAACCTTACTATTTAACCAAAGGATAAAAGTTTATGGCAAAAACATACTCAAACAGTACAGAAGTATGTGAAGAGGAAACTGCAGGTGTTCCTCATCCTTTTCCCAAATCCTTAATATCACCTTTGGATAACAAAGTAAAAACGTAATTGTTACTGGCTGTGTAATATTCCACCACAATAATCTATTATCAGATCCATGTATTAGGTTGCTTCTAGGTTTTGGCCTCTATAAATAATGCTGCTGTGAACATCTTCCCAAAACCTTTGTTTCCCAGAGATAAGGTGAAACGGGGTTTCCCTGGACAGGGAGGACAGGAGTGGGTAACCCCCAGGGAAGGAAGGACAGGGGCCGTCTACCTTGAAGGTGATTTCTGCCAGGCAGCGTGTGCACTTGATGTAGAAGCGGAAGATGGGCAGCCCCAGGTAGGCCTCGTTCTGCACGGTCTCTTTGCGTGCATTGAACTTCTTGCCCTTGTAGATGTACTCTCCACACGTCTTACACCTGTGCGTTGGGATGAAGGAAGTGGAGTCACCTCGGTTCGCTGGCTCCTATGGGTAGGAAGCTCTGGCGTTCTGGCAGATGGCTGCCTGCATGCCTCCCGGGACAGGGCGCTCCCTCCCTCCCAAGGCAGCCTGTCCCACAGGTATGCACGGAGCCCCCCACCTGGCGTGCTCTTCTCACTAATACCTGCCTGGCCCTCAGTCCAAGCGCTGCCTTTTGGGGAAGCAACCAGACCACCCAGACTGGGTGGGACTTGCTGCCACACACTCCCAGAAGCCAGCCTGGTGCTCATGGGGCATCCTGGCCTCCCCGAGGGAGATTCCACCAGAAGGGACGCCACGCTGGAGAGAGGCTCTTGCCACTCTGCCCTCCCTCAGCCCCTCCCACGTGGACCCTGCACTTTGCAGGCCCAGCACGCTGGCCTCCTGGATGTTCCTACAAACACCACCAGCTCAATGCCACCTCCAAGGCCTCCGCCCTTGCTGTTCCCACAAACGGCGGCAGACTTCATCCTTCAGACCCTAGCTCTGCTGGCATTCCTTCTGATGTTGCCTTGACTACCCTGGCTAACACCTTCCCTCCCCTGGCACCTATCCCATCATTCTCCTCCATGCCGGGTTTATGTGCCCACAGATGCCTGGTGTGAATGCACCTGAATACTTATTTATTATCCCCATCAGCCTGTGGGCTCTGTGGAGTCAGGGACTTTGTTAATCTTGTTCCCTATAGCATCCCTGGTGCCCAGCCTAGGCCCCAGCAGGTGTCCAATAAATGACTAGCGAATGGAAAAAAATGAATGAATGAAGAAAAGAAAATAAACAGATCAACAATATGTGGGTACCAACAATACTTAAATAAAAAAAGAAAACAGTATGTAAAACATGCTGAATTTCACTAATAAGCGTCTTTGACCACCAGGTTTATCTGATTTCAAATATGCTAAAATGTGAAAAATTGTGTGGCTTAGAGTTGGTAAGATATGGTGCTTCTGGTAGGGAATGAGGACAAGATCTGGGGACTGTGAGGGGAAGGCATAACAGAGGGGATTACACGGGGGGACTGGAAATAATGGAGAGGGTTACACGGGGACTGGGAGGGCTTCTCTGAGGGGGTGGTATTTAAGCTAAAACTTAATGGTGAAGAGGAACCAGCCATGTGAGAGCCAGAGGCAGAAGGAATGGCCTGTGTAAAGGTCCTGGGGTTCGAACAAGTGTGGCTGTTGGAGAAGGTCCCCAAAAGTCTGTGCACACACTTACTACTAATGATCAAGAGCTCGAGGCAGGCACCAAACGGGAGCTCCAAAAGGTCAGGGAGCTTAATCCTGAGTGGTGAGGAAAGCGAGGGCTGGCGAGGTCACTTGTTCACCTGTTTGAGGTCAGTGTTTGATCTGAGACTTGTAACTTGGTCTCAGCGCCAGCGATGGGCCACGCTTCGTGGGCCCTGGACACCAGGCCTGTCTGTCACAACTGGTGCAGGGAGGCCATGCAGGGGTGCTCACCTCATGTTGAAGGGGGCCATCAACCGTACCACGTACTGCCGGTCTTTGGGGAGCTTGAGCTTTGGGATTTTTGACGGGTCAAAGTCGGGAGGGTAGTATTTCTGTGGGGAGGAAAGAAGCATCAGGGGCGCTGCTTACAGATGCAGGGGCAGAGGGCAGGGGCGCTGGGGAGCCGTGTCCAGGCTCTGAGACCATCCCAGGGTGTGCAGATTTGGTTGGAGGGCCACAAGGATTCAGCATACACTGTACTCATAGCTACCATTTGCTACAGCAAAAGGACACAGAGAAGAACCAGCAAAAGGAAACGTGTAGGGGGCGGGGCTGGGGACACCAGGCACAGGCTTCCAAAGTCTTCCCCCGATGGACTCACACAGGGCGTGCTTCATTACCACAGCACTGAGATGTGACAGTACAGGTAACATTATTTCCCAGGGAGGCTCACAGATGCCCAGTACCCAGGGGTTTCTCCAGGGTCTTCTTATGCAGGCACCCTCTGCCTGGCACATACCGAGATGCCAGACCCCTGGAGGAGAGTGGGTGCTCAGCGTTACCCACGTTGTTGGGACGAACAATTTAGGCTCAGTGAACCACTGTTATCAAGGAACGGTGGAAACCATCCTGAAATTCCAGTTTCCGGGTGCCAGCCATGGCCCAGCCTTGCAAGCTAGCCTTTCTACCGACAGCAGTCTCAGGCCTGCTGCATTAACTCTTCCTGCCCACGAGGAGCCTGATGGGAAAGACGAGGAGGAAGGTGAGTTTGGATAATGAAAAATACCACCACTGATAATCAGAAAATAAAGCGCTTTGTGTTTTGAGCACCTACTAGGCACCAGGTGCTACACAGAGCACTTTATATCCCTTGCCTCATGGAAGCCTTGCAAAGAATCTATGAGACAGACAGCAATGTACCCGTTTCACAGAGGAGGAAACTGAGACCTGGTGGTTCCCACAGTGTAAGTAGTGGAGCCAGGATTCAGACCCACGGGTAAGACCCTGGGGAAAACAGGGCAGTACAACGATTAGGAGCTGGGGTTACAGAGGCGGTGGCCTGGGTTCCACTCCTCCGCTCACTGGGTACTACATATCTTCTCTGGGCTTCAGTTTCCTCATCTGAATGGAAGTAACCCGTCCACCTGCAAGGATCTGATGAGCATAGCACTTGGCGCAGTGCCTGGCACACAGAATCATCTACCAATAAATTATGGAAATAGAACCATCTATTGGGTGCTCATCAGCTGTATCCTCAGAACGGAAGGACTTTCAGGGACACCAGGTCCAGCACACGGCACTGGAATGTGAGCAGGCTGGGGATGAATTCCTAAGGCAGGTGCTTGAAAGACGAGGACACTGAACCAACCACAGGAGGGGACATCAGCCCGATCTCGGACATCTGGGCTCCTGGCCGTCGGTCCTGACATCCTGGACTTGGGACACTTCCAGGGCAGGGAGGTCGCCCCCTCCCTGGGAGTACACACTCCCCCGGGAGGTGGGGAACAGGGGCTCAGATTTCCGGAGCTCTCGTTTCCACAAGTCAAATCCCGCCTTCCAGAGACCCTTTTCACCCCACAAGATTCCTGGTTTTCCCCCCAAGAGTTGGGACAAGTTGAGGCAATTCCGGAGGGTCCCTCTCAGCAAGCAGAGAAGCATAGCAAAGCTTAACTTCTTCGAGGAACACGATTGGCTGGAGCCCCAGGTGAGGCGGGGCTTAACAGAGCCCCGTCTCCGAAGGTGGCGGCGTAGAGCCGGAATACCAGTGTGCGCAGGAAAGCCCCGCCCCCTACGGAAGTGATTAGCTTATTCCCTTGGGAAAATCCAATTGGGGGTGTGACTGGATGATCAACCCAAGTTCCCCTTCAACAGGTGAATGGGCACACCCCAGCCCCGAGAGCACGGTTTAGAAGAGACCCACCCACCGCGGAAGGTAATTGGGAGGAGTTTGAAAGCCCCGCCCCGCTGAAGGCCGTTTCGGAAAAAAAGGTTTCAAGAGAGCACAGAAAACCGGAGCTCCGAGACATCGCTACCCTGGTAGAAAACCTTAGTCGCTTAACACTTACGTTTAAAACTTTTCGCTCCGACATCTTAGCCTCCTGCTCTTCTCACAATCAAGAGAGGACTGGTTACAATTGGTGTTAACAGAACTTCCTTGGTCGTCCCCCTATTTCCGTTAACGTCACTTCCTTCCTCTCTATTATTGGCTGCAGCATGAGCAGCTTTCCTTTCTCATTGGCTCCAGTTCCGCCCGTCAAGATCAGAGTCCCGTTATCTTTCCGTCCGAGTTGCACCCTCAATAGGGCACAATAAAAAGGTTCCGGGAGCCGGCTGCATTTGAAATTCCGAGGAGACGGTGAGCCCCCTAGACTTGGACAACAGCTTATAAAAATTTCGTGACTTGTGGCGTGGCTGCTGCTTGAGACATTCTGTATATTCTGTTATTCAGCAAATAAAGATCTTACTGTGCAGGGCTCTGAGAGCCCACAGCCTCATTCCTGAGTCCCTAGCTCTCACCGGGGGACTGGGGTGTCTACAAAGGGGCATCCTAGGCACACCACCCCAAGTTAATTTTGAGTCACTGGCAGAGACAAAGACCCAGCTGCAAACCAACTTCCACCAACACACACACACTTGTTCCCAAATGTCCCCCCACTGCCAGCCTACCTTGTCCCTTTGAAGAAGGCAACCTCCCCCATTCTTTCCCTTAACCCCCCTTTATTTTATAAATTTTGTTATGTGTCAGATACGTGCTCAGTCACTGGGGACACGCCAGAGAACAAACCAAGATTCCAGGCTTCACAGGGTTCACTGTTAGGTGAGACAAACGTAAACATCCAAAAAGGACCCTTTCGGAGTCCTGGTAAGTGATCTGAAAATAATAAAACAGGGTAACATATGGGAAGTGTTGAGAAGGGGCTACTTTAGATGGTGTATGAGCTTCCTGGGGCTGCTGTAACAAATGACCACAAGCTAAATGTTTTCGAACAACATATATTTAATTATCTGATAATTTTGGAGGTCAGAAGTCTGAAATGTGTGGTCAGGAAGACTTCAGTTTCCTCGACTTTCCAGCTTCTAGAGGCTGCCCACATTCCCTGGCTCATGGCCTCTGATCCACAGTCACATCGTACTTGTCTCTCCCTGTGACTCTCCTGCCTCCTGCTCATAAGGACGCTTGTGATCATGTTGGGGCCACCCAGATAATCCAGGATAATCCTCTTTGATGTTGTTATAACTTAATTATAATATCCTTAGTCCTTAAATCAAGGCTCCTATGATTCTTAATCACATCTGCAAAATCCCTTTTGCTGTGTAAGGCACCATATTCACATGTTCTGAGGATTAGGATATGGAGATCTTTAAGGAGCTGTTATTCTGCCTGACACAGATGAAGTGGTCAGGGAAGGCTTCTTGGAGGAGGTGACTTTTTGAGTTGCGATCTGAGTGACATTCACAGACAAGCCCATGGGTTTTCTTTGACCTTCAGGGCCTGGCTGCTTTGCTCCCTCCTCAAAAAAATCTTCCCAGACAAATTCATGTCCTCTTTGTGTCCATTCCCTGTGGGAATCATACCTGAGTACCTTTTCAGGGGACCAAACTGCTGAACTGAATGGACTCCACCCTCCCATCCAAGGTAGGCCCACACCAACTCTCCCAACCCTAGTATCTTCCTCTGGTCCTGCTTGACCCCCTCCACAGAGAGGGGATTCTATGTGTGTCTCTGCCTCTGTCCTCCCTCCCAGCCTCCTCTCTTGTACCCATCTGGGTCTGTCGAAGAAAGAGGGGTCCTGATTCCATTTATAAACAATAAAAAAATCTCATGTTTATAGTTCACAAAGCCCTGCACAGTAGCCAAAGAAGGAAGTACATCCCCGTTTCAGATTGAGAGACTAAGGCTCAGAGAGGCAGACACACTTGTCCAAGGTTGCCCAGCAACTCAGCAGCAGTGAACCCAGGCCAGTCGGGTCCCATCCACCCTTGAGTGGGCGACAGTGGAGGGTGGATGGCAAGGACCTAGACCCTCTTCAAGGGTGTTGGGAAGCCCCCACTACTTGCCCAGGGTCACAGAGGTAGTGGTGGGGAGACTCCAGTCACTGGATTCCCCGTAGTCGGTGAAGTCCTGAGCAGCCACCTGGATGCAGTACCTGGCGTGGGGCCTCACGGCCCTGAGGATGAAAGATGTGGCTTCAATGGGCCCCACCTAAGCAGAAAAAGGGCCAGGTCAGAAGCAACGATGGGGCTCGGAGGGCCCACTGTGCACAGAACTGAAGGATGGATGCTCGGCTCCTCCCATTCCCTCCTAAACAGCAGGCTTTCCACGTCTTTGGCCTTTTCTGACCCTAACCTTAAATTAGTGAACACTACATAAAATGTAGACGTCAGTTCCTTGGGGACTTGCCATACTGCAATTGCTCAGCAGCCGCATATGGCTACAGTGCAGCTGTAGCGCATTTCCACCATCGCAGAGGGTTCAACGGGACAGAGCTGCAAATGACAAAGCCCTGCGAACACTCAGCTCCTGGGGTGGCATCCGAGGCTGCCCAGGACACAGCCAACCTCCCCAGATGCCCACCAAGTACCCTGCCTTTATTATTTTTTACTTGGTAAAAATCTGAAATAACACATTTGTTTTCAGTCGATGTGAAATTCACATGCCACCAAATGTTTAAGTGGACAATCCAGGGGCATTTGGGGCGTTCACAAGCTTGTGCGACTACCCTCTCTCTAGTTCCAGAACGTTCCATCACTCCAAAGGACACCCCCTCCCCATTACTACATTCGGTTTGTGGATTTGCCTATTCTGGACATTTCACAGAAATGGGGCCACACACTGGGTGGTCTTTTGTGTCTGGCATCTCTCACTGAGCATTCTGTGTTCAGGGTCCATCACACTGTAGCGCATGCCAGGGTCCCACTCCTTTTCGCTGCTCAGGATACTCCTGTGCATGGATGGACCACATTTGCTTTGCATCCATCCATGGATGGAGCTTTGGGCTGTTGTTCTGAGTAGCACCACTTCAAACATTCACGTACAAAGATTTGTCTGAGCCTCTGTTTTCAATTCTTTTGGGTTAATACTCAGGAGCTCAATGGCTCAGCTGCCTTTATGATACCCACAGCAACCCAGGCTGGATTCAAGGGCCCAGCACACCTGGGCACATGCTGTTCACTCTACGGACACCACCCTCCCTCGCCTCCCCGTCATCCTCACCAGGCGGAAGCGGGCAGAGCCATGACGCTTGTATCGAAGCCAGTACTTGAGCAAGAAGATCTCTGGGAAGGGCCAGGACTGGGGGGGTTCCCACTGCACCCACAGGCGCTGCCCAGGGAGAGGGCTCAGGCGCACGCCTTCTGGAGGGTCTGGTTTGACTGATGGACAAGCAGGAGGCAGGGTGAGGGGATGGCAGATTCATTCATTCAACCAACCAACCAACCAACATCAATTGAGGGTCCAGTGATATCCTGGACCCTGGGGACACAGCAGTGACCAGCACAGGCCCTATCCCTGTCTTCTTGGAGCTCAATCCCTGAGGGCAGAGGCGAATCCATAGGTCACAAAGGATAGGGAGGAAGTTCAGGAGTGCAAGGAGGGCAGGGGAGCTGCAATGTTTTGGGGGATGTCATTCACATACCACAAAACTCACCCTTTTAAAGTACACTGGGTTGCAGCGTATTCATAGTGTGTGGTGCAACCATCACCGCTCCTTAATCCAGAACATTGCATCACTCCAAAAAAAAAACCCTATACACATTAGCCGTCATTTCTCAGTCCTCCTCCCAAACCCTGATGGCCGTGAATCCACGTTCTGTCTGTGGATTCACCTGTCGTGGGCGTTTCACAGCAACAGGGTCACATGCCGTGTGGCCTTGTGGGGCTGGCGTCTCACTGAGTACTGTGTGTTCAGGGTCTGTCCGCGCTGCAGCGCGGACAGACCTCCTTGTCATGGCTGAGTGACCTTCCAGTGTGTGGAGACCACATTTTGCACATCCATTCATCTGTAGATGGACAATCATGTTGCTTCCGCTTTTTGCCTATTATGGATAATGTGCCTATAGGCACATGTGCACATGTTTTTGTGTACATATGTTTTCATTTCTCTTAAGTATATGCCTAGGACTGGAATTGCTGGGTTATATGCTAACTTGTGTTTAAGTCTGAGGGACTGCCAGACTTGTTTGTTAGTAACCAGTAACAATGTGCAATTTTTAATAATGCGCCCAAGGGAGGCCTCCCTGAGCAGATGACATCTGAGGAGGGACCTGAAAGTTGTGAGAGAGTGAACTGCATGGAGATCTGGGGGAAGGGCATTCCAGACAGAGAGAACAGCCTGTGCAAATGCCCTGGGGCACGAATGTACCTGGCATGTTGGACCAACAGCAAGGGGGCCTGTGGGTCTGGAGCAGAGTGAGCGATGGGGAGAGAGGAAGGAGGAGAGGGCAGGGACGGGATGGGAGAGGTGGTGCTGGGCCTCATGGGCCGTGGAGAGAGAGGACTTGGGCTTTTGACTGTCAGGTAGCTGGGAGCCCTGGAGGACTGTGCGCAGAGGAGGCGGGGACCTGATTCAAGTGCTCACTGGCGCCCTCTTGGGGCCGCTGTGTGGAGGGCCAACTGCGCTGGTCCAGGTGGGCAATGATGTGCTGGACCAGGAGAGGGCTCAGGATTGGGGAGAGGCGGGTGGGTTTTGATAAAATAGAAAGGTCGAGCTGACAGGATCCGTGACAGCTGAGTGACAGGTGGGAGTGGGGGCTGGTGAGAGAGGGAGCTGAGCAGGAGCCGGCTGGTGGCCCCCCACACCCACTACTGCTGCCCGCACTCACTGATGTGCTCGGGGACAAAGGGCACAAAGCTGCTGCTGACGCCCCAGGGATGGACGGCTGTGACGTTGAGCACGTAGGGCACAATGGAAAACATCTGGATGTCTGGGACGGTGCAGGTGGTGGCCTCTGGTGTCGGCTGGAGGCAGGGCCAGCTCTCCCTCTGGGCAGCCACGCCGAGCCTAGACACAGGGTGGGTGCTATGAGGGTCTCAGTACTTCCTGCTGGCCTGCTGGTGCCCTGGACCCCAAGCTGGGGTCTTGCCCTTGACTGTGTGACCCTGGAGGAGCCATTCACCCCAACACTGCAGAGCCCATGTGTTGACCGAGGGTCATGGGTAAAACCCCACAGGGAGATGCTAAGGTCCAGATTCCAAAGATTTCTGGAACATCGACATTCCAGCCTTAGAATTCCAACATTCCAAGGTCTATTTTCCAACCACAAATTTTATCAAATCTAATCAGAGATCAAGAATGATGAAAGCTTAGCATCTGAATTGGAATGCACTATATGCGTGAAATACAACTGGGATTTGGAAGACTTTGTATGCAAAGAACAAAAGTAAAATACCTCAATGTTTAAAGTATCGATTATATCTTGAAATGATAACACTTTAGAGAATCCTATTAAAGAACATTAATTTCTCATGAATTCAGATATATAACAAATCATATATAAGCATGTTAAATTACACTACATTCAATTATGCTAAATGATAAATATTTGGAATATTCAGATATTAGTTAAATGAAATATTAAAATTAATTTCACCCATTTTCTCTCTTTAAATGTGACTTCTAGAAACTTTTTAACTATACATGTGGCTTGCAATATATATATTAGGAAGTGTATTTCTGTTGGTTGGAGCTGCTCTGGGATTCTGGCCCCTGCTGGGTGTCCAGATGCCCTCTGCTCCTAGGGAGTCAGGCCTGGCTGCAGCATCCCCAGGAAGCCATCCCCTCTGACCTGTACGTGGCAATGAAGGATGTGGGCCTGGTAGGGTGTGGAGCGGGTGGCAGAGTCCAGCAGCAATCCACAGCGATCGGGTACCTAGAGGCCCAGCACCGTACCCTAGGCTGGGTGGCAGCCCCTGGGGCCCCGGAGGAAGGAGGAGGAGCATGAGCTTCTGATTCACCGCGGGATTGCCAAAGCCCTACTGTGTGCCTGCTGCCAGGCAGTGGCAGCACTCAGCAGGTGCCTAATAAATGAATAGATGAACAAAAGTCATCTGCATCATCTCTTACTGCCCCCTACTAACCACCAAGGCAGAAACTATTAGCCCACTTTCCAGATGGGGAAGCTGAGGTTTCAGGAGCCACAGAGGGGACTTAGGTGGAGGGAAGAAGCCCTGGTGGGAGGGAGATGTTTCACTGTGGCCACTTTTGTAAGAGTTTTATTTTGAAGCACATGAACTGAAAGCATACAATTAAAACGCCTTCCCTCTCTCTCCCTCTCTCTCCAGGCTGTGGCTGCCACTAACTGGTGTCACTTGGGGCAGGACTCAGCCTCTTTGTCTCAGTTTTCCCTACCTGTGCATGGGGTGGAAACCCCCTCCCCCCAGCGGGCATACAACAGATGTGGGAGTCCCCACACCACCCCAGAATGTCCCATGGCAGACAAACTCCACTCCTCAGAGGGTGTCTCTCTGTCCTGGCCCCCCACCCCCCGGGGGTCCCTCATACCTTCTCTCCCACAGCAGGGTGAGCAGCCCACCCAGAGGGTGAGGGCCAGGAGTATTCTCGGCGCCATGGCCTTGGCGGACTCTGCCATCAGGAGCTGGGGCAAGGAGCACCCTCAGAGAGGCAGGGGACACGGGTGCCTCCCAGGGGGAAGCGCAGCCCTCGGTGGAGGCCCCCTGCTTCCCCTTCCTGAGGTTGGACTCAAGACTGGCTCTTGCAGTCGGCGGGGAGTTGAGCAGGGGCGGTGGAGAAGCCCCCTGGTCCCTTTACTGGCCCCGTCTGGGCGGCGGGTATGGAAGGCCCCAAGGGTGAGGGCGGGAAGAGGCCATGAAAGAGAGAAGTGGAGACCCCGTGGCCTTTCCCAGAACTGCCCATCCGTCAGTCCTTCCTTCCGGCTGCAGTGAGAGGGGAAACCCCGGGGAAGGGGCCGATGACACGGGGAAAGACAGAGAAAGGGGCAGGGAGGGGAGGGGCAGAGACTGAGCCGGAGAGGGCGAGGGGGACCCCGAGGGGGAGACAGACACAGATGGAGACACAGAGAGACACAGACAAGAGAGAGACATCTGGAGGAGAGAGAGACAGAGGTGAGAAAGAGACACACACACCCACAGAGACAGAGAGACAGAGACAAAAACTCCAAAAAAGAAAGATAGGAGCACAGAGAGATCTGAGCACCCACATACAGGGCACGTTCACTGTGACCACAGTGATGCGGACCCACCCTGCCAGCCGCACGCCACCCTCCGGGCCGCAGAGAGGCAGGAACACAAGCCCTGGGGAGGCAGGCACCACCTGAGGACGTGCTCTCGGCGACAGAGATGGCCGGGGACTGGCTGAGTCCCTGAGGGACATACAGTGCCTGCCCAGGACGCCAGGAAACCCCCGGGGGCACGCCGGACATGCAGGGGTTCCACAGCCACGCCCCACCTCCCTGGCCTTGGCTGGAAGAGCCGAGAAGCCCCAGGGGATTTTGGGGGATTCACCCAGGACAGGGAGTGGGGGCAAGCAGACAAGGAAACAGGCAAGGCTCACGGGCTTGGATCCTGCCTCCCCTTAACATGGACCTGTTGGTGCCCATTTTAACTTTTTTAAATCGTGCATTCACGCGTGTTCACCGCTGGGACAGTCTTTGACTGGAGGTGTGTCTTGTATCATCCTTATTCCTAATCCCTGTCTGGGTCCCCCGCCCCCTCCTTGCTGCGGGAGCCCAGCAATCAGGCCTCACGTGTTCATCCTTTGCTCAGAGAGCTTTTATTCCTGGGGTGGCGGATGGGCAAGGGACTCAGTTTATCCAGGGCAGGGCGGGGCACAGTCAGAGCCAGGGTCTCGACTAGCCAGTCCGTGCAGGGACCAGGGTGGCAACGGAGACCGCCAGGGACTGCCAGGAAGGGGCCCAGGCTAGCCCCCCCGTGCAGATGGTCGGTGCGTGAGCTCAGACACCCGGGGCAGGGCCTGCTGGGCGGAGCGGAGGGTCCCTGCCCCGACGCTCAGCGGCCCTGAGCCTGCAGCCTCTGCATCTGTAAGATCTGGCTCAGAATGCGCTGCACGTCTTCATCCATCTGACCCTGGGGTGGGGGGGAGCGGAAAGCACGCCGGGCTGCTCCTGGCCCTGCTTCTCCGTCCCCTCCCTTCCCACCGTGGCAGCCAGGCGCCCCTCCCCTCGCCCAGCCTCCCCAGTACAGATGGAGAGAGAGGCACATGAGCCAGGGGAGCTCACCTGAATGGCATACAGGAGATGGCTTCGATACAGGGCCACCACTGCACCGTGGTCCCTGGCAGCCTCCTGTGGGCGTGGCAGAGGGGTGCTCAGGAATGTGGTACCCCTCCAAAACACAACAAAAGGCCCCTTTGCGCCGCGAGCCCCCATTTTGATGGCATGCACCAGTGCTAAAATACTGAAATATTTTCCTCCCGTGCCTGGCACGTGTAACCCCACCTCCTGCCCACCCACAACTGTCCTGGGGTTCCTGCTCCAGCCCTCACCTCCAGCTGCTCCTGCAGAGCCTTCACCTGGCCTCGCAGGGTCTCCACCTCGGGGCTGCCTGGGGTCGCCTGCTGGCCCTTCAGTGCCTCCTTGAGAGTGAAGACTTCCTTGGACAGCTCTGTAATCTGTGGGGGAGGCAAGGGAGGCGGGGCGTATCAGGGCCGCCCTGGGCCAGGGGCTGGGGGCTGGGGCCCTCTCCTCGGCAGCAGTGGGAAGAGCAAAGGGACAGAGGCTTGTCAGGGAAAGTGCCACCTGAGACGCAAACTGCACCCCGCAAGCTGGGTCTGGCCCATGAGCTAAGAATGGTTTTCACATTTTAAATGGTTGGAGGAGAAAAGTCAAAGGAATGGTTATTTCATGACATGGGGAAATTAAGTCAAATTCACAGGGCTGCGTTCAGACTTAACATTTTATCGGCGTACGGCCACACCCTTTGGCTTACAGGTCGTCTAAGGCTCCAGCCGCATGGGCAGAGCTGGGCACTGTCTACCCTGCAGGCCAAAACCACTGCCTGTTGGGCCCTTTACAGAAAACGTTGGCCGATCCTGTCACACGCTGTCTGGGAGTCTCTGGTACATGGAGGCTGGCCACAGGAAAGCAGGAGAGAGCGTGGCCGGTCGGGCTGGGTCAGACAGCGGGTTGCATCCCTCTCCACCCCTTTCTCACAGGAGACCTTAGAAAGATGCCTTAACCCCTGAGCCTCGGTTTCCCTTTCTGTCAAATAAGGAGAATCGTGGTTCTCATCTTAGAAGGTTACTGTGCTTCTGAACAGAGATTAAGTTTAAACTGTGCCTGGCAAACCGCAGCAACTCAATAAATGCTGAGCTTTATTCTTATTACTGTAGATCAGAGGCTCTCCATCAGGGTCCATTCTGCCCCCAACAGGACCCCGGTCAACGATTGGTGTTGTCATGACTTGAGGGTGGTTCCTGGCCTTGAGTAGGTGGGGGCCAGGGAGGCTCCTCAACACCCCCCCAAGGCCAAGGATAGCCCCCCACCAGAGGACCCAGCCCTGAACACCACTAGGGTTGAGGGGGAGGAACCCTGCTACAAATAAACCATAATCTCTGCCATAGTTTTATTTTCATTTTACAGACGTGGAAACTGGGGCTCAGAGAAGTCAAGCAACTTGTCCAAGGTCACAAAGCAAGCTGGGGTGGGTAACTTTGTGGTAATGCTCCTGGGGCTCTGAGGGTCACAACCACTGTCTGGTGACATGCTGTATGACTCTGAGCTACCCATTTTGCCTCTCAGAGCCTCAGTCTGTTCATCTGGAAAATGGGGATAAGAATGCTTTCTGGCTCTTAGGGTTGTGGGAGATTAAAAGTAATAGTGTTTGAGAAACACCCGATTGAATAACCAGAGGCTGCTGTTAATCATCACTATCATTAAAGAGCAGAACTTGGAAACTCAGATCCAAACGCTGGCTGAACCACTGCAGAGCTGTGTGGCCTCAGGCAACTGGCTTCACCTCTCTGTGCCTCAAATAGGGAGAGGAAAAACACCAATCTTGTGAGAATTTGATGTGGGGATTAAATGCATTGATCCATGTACAGTACCCAGCACAGACCTGGCTTGTGATAAGCACTCAATACATGTTGCTGCGGCCATCATTCACAGCTGGAACATGTGCCCATGTGTCTGAATTGTCTCCTTCTATCTCTGTGCCCCACTCTCCTGTCTGGAAAATGGGCTGACTTCCCAAGACCCTCCCAGCTGGGACATGCTGAGCTTCCCCCCAGCCTCTGCTGAGCAGGCCTCCCTCCCATGACTGAGCAAAGGCAAAGGGGATGCACCTTTTTGTCCTTCTCCTTGGCCCTGTCCAGGGCCTCCTGGGCACGGCTCTGGGCCTGGCGCGCCCGCTCAGCCTCGGTACGTAGCCCCCGCAGCTGCTGCTCCGCTGTGGCCAGCTGGGCCTCTGCCGCGTGCCGTTCACTCTTCATGAACAGCGCCTCCCGCTGCACCTGCAGCCCAAGCCCACATGTGACCCTGAGGACATTTGGACCCCAGAGTTCTTCTGATGCTGCTGCTCTGGCCTGAGGACACTTAAGCTACCTTTTGACCTCAAGGAGTTTGACTCAGAAAGTTCTGGAATCCCTCGGAGCTCTATGAACATTCTGCCTCTGCCAAGCACCTCTGACCTGCTGGCTGTGTGGCCTTAGACAAGCGACTTAACTTCTCTGTGCCTCAGTTCCCTCATATAAAATGAGAATAGTAATAGCCCCCACTTCACAGTGTGGATGTGAGGATAAAATGAGCAAATACACGGAGTATGCTTAGGACAGTGTCTGGCACAAAGTCAGTGCTATATTCAAGTTGGTGATATTATCATTAATATTATTTTCTCTGCCAGAGGCAGAAAGGTTTATAGGTTTCTTGCAAAATGAAAGAAAAAAATAGAATATTCTGGATGAAAAGCAAACTAATGTTCAAAAGACAATGACTGCATTTTCCCAAAAATGTCAAAATCAGAACAGGATTAGATTTGCAACAGTTGACCCTGGAAGGGGGCACTGGCCTTTATAGAAATAATACCTCCGGGGAAATGGATAATAATTAGATGTTCCGCTTAATACAGATTGGCTATACACTAACAATTAAAAAAAAAACTACACTGATTGATGAAGCTAATCACACTTGCAAAATTTACCCCAAAAAGAAGTGATCTTGAGAAAGGTAAAATTTAGGAAAAAAGCATGAAGATGGGCAAACTTAGGTTAGTGAGACTGTGAACTTAAGGAAGTAGATCGGAACTTAACTGGCTTAAAAGCATGTTCTCGGAAAAAGAATAATTCTGGCTGCCATTTATTGGTCACTTGTACCATCACTATCCTAAGTAATTTATATTAGTTGAGCCATTTAATTTTCATGTGAGGATAAGGCATTATTATTATTATGTCCATTATACACATGAGTAAATAGGGGTAAGGAGAGGAAAATGCTTTCCTGACAAGTAATGAATGTGGCTTTGTATTAAAATACTTGTTAAAAGAGCCGCCAGTATTTTTGTTGTTAAAGGAGATGGAGTCAAAAAGTCCACCATCAGCAACAACAACAAAACAATCTCTGGGCTTAAAAAAGTCAGAGTCAAACCTATTGGATTCAAAATAATTAGATCAAAAATCCCTGCAAATAAGTCCTCCTACTTTTGGGCTGAAGTGTCAAAATGATATGATAAAATAACAAGCTCAAAACAGCCAGATGGGAAAAAAAAAACAGGGACAGCAGAGTAATGGACACTAGGTAAACACATCAGGGCAAAAAGTCCAATTCGCTGCCTACCAAAAAATTAATGTTGAATGTTGATCCCTAACTCACACCATACACACAATGAGAGATGAAGCATTAACGTGATGGTAAAACTAAAAGATGCCGTCTTACTATGTTGATGGACAGTGACTGAACGGGGATGTGGGGGGGACTTGGTGAAGGGGGGAGCCTGGTAAACATAATGTCCTTCATGTAATTGTAGATGAATGATACCAAAACAAAATTAATTAAAAAAAACCTAAAAGATGCCGGAAGAAAACATCTGAGAATATCTCCATGACCTAGAGATACACAGAGGTTTTATAAACAGATCACAAAAAATGTTAACCATTAAAAAAAAAAAAATGACATCGCTGAAATAACCAAGAGGTTTTTAAAAAGAAACACAAGTCGAAACATCTAGGAGGTCAGAATGGCTGCAGGGTCAAACACCCACCTGGAAACACTGGTAGGGGCAAATGTCTATAGGATTGAAATTGATGGGGTCAAAATATCTCACAGCTGCAGGGTCAAGACCACCAGGTGGCCACTGGGTGTGCTGGGCGGGGGCCCCGCCACACTCACCTGGAAGACCTCAGCGCTGGTCTTCTCATAGCGTCGGCCTAACTCCTCCAGCTGCCCCTCCAGCCGGACCACATCTGCCCGCAGCGCACCTACTATGCGTTCGTGCTCCAAGCGGGCCACACTGCCCACGCGCTCCCTCTCCAGCTCTGCCCGCAGCCGGGCAGCTTCCTTGCCTGTGGCCACCACCTCCTGCTCCAGGCTGGCTGCCCGGCCCCGCAGTTCGAGAGCCTCCTCCTGTAGCCGGTGGTGCTCTGAGGCTGGTACCGCTGACTGGCGGAGGGCCTCGGAGGCCTCGCGCAGCTCCGCCAGGCCCTGCCGAGCCTCCTCGCAGGCAGAGGCCAGCTCAGCAGCCCGGGCCTCGGCTGCATCCCGTGCTTGGGCCAGCTCGGCGGCCGCTGCCCGATGCTGTTCCCCGGTGGCCCTGGCTGCGGCCAGCTGCTGCCGTAGCACTTCCAGCTCCCGGCTCTGCTCCAGCCGCGCCTCTTCCTTCTGAGCCAGCTCTGCCCGCAGGCCCCGGGCCTCCTCCTCAGCCAGCAGCCGGCCCGCCCGGGCTTCATCCAGCCAGGCCGAGGCCGCCTCCAGCTCCCGGAGGCGGGAGTCCCGGTCTCGGAGGTCTTCCCGGGCCTGTTCCAGGGCCGCCCGCAGCTGGACTGTGTCAGCGCTGCTGCCCCCACCGGACCCAGCGCCCTCGGCCTCACGCACCCGCTCCCGCAGCCGACCTGCCTCGGCCTCCACGGCCTCACACTTGCCACGGGCCGCCTCCAGCTCAGCGGCAGCCTCCTGCTCTCGCTGCCGGAGCGCCTCCTCCAGGGCACGAATCCTGGCCTCCAGCTCTGCTTGCAGCATTTCTGAGGCCTCAGCAGCATTAGGGTGTAGGACAGGGCCTGGGGGCACCCTTGGGGCTGTGGCCTCCACTCCCATGGCCTCCATGCCGGTGAGCTCTGCCTCCACAGCACTCACATTGGCCTTTTGCCCGGGTCCCTCTGCTCTCGTATTCGTGTTCTCTGCTCCTGTGGCCTTTGCTTCCAGGCTTCCTGCTGCTTCTAGAACTTCCATTTCTGTGACCTCGGGCCCTGTGGCTTTTGTTCCCAAAGCCTCAGCAACCATACCCTCGGTTCCCATGGCCTCAGTGCCCCTGGATTTTCTTTCTGTGGCCTCAGCCCCAGCGGAAGCCACTTGCAAAGTCCTGGCTTCCCCGGCTTCTGCTCCTGCCACCTCCTCGCCTGCTGTCTCGGCCCCGGTAACTTTGATTTCTGGGGCCCCAGCGCCATCCAGCTCCGTGGCTGCTGGCCCGTTCCCAGTGGTCCTGACTCCAGTATCCTTACCCTCCCCGAGAGCTGCTTCTCCTTCTCCAGGGGCCACCTGTGTTTCTTGCTGCGCCAGCGCCCGCAGGGCCTCAGCGTGCTGCCTGCGGAGCTGGTCAAACTCAGCCCGGAGAGAGTCATAGAGGGCCAGGGGGATGACCTCCGCCAGACCGTTCGCCTCCATATCGTCCTTCTCGAAGTCTTCCAGGATCTGCGGGGTGGGGATGGCCAGGCAGGAGCTGAAGTGGCCATGGGGCACAGGATGGCCCTGCCACCCTCCCAGCCCCTGGGGGAACGAGGCCTTGGGTCCTCAGATACTCCCCCAGGCCTCAGTTTCCCCACCTGGACCTTCTCCCTCAGCTCCTGGTTCTGTCTGGTGAGCGCAGCCACCTGCTCTTGCAGTGAGACCAAGAGTTCCTGGGCGGACGCGCTTAGCTGTTTGGAGAGCATTGCCTCCACCCCTGGTGGGCGACAAGGAGTCAGGTGCAGGGTCCCGGGCCACAGGGGATGGGAACTGGGGGCCTGGAGTGGTGAGTCAGGGCCCCCTCAAGCAAGCAGAATAACTAATGGGTGAGGGCCAACCTCCCCACTAGCTTCAAGCTCCCTCCATGGAAGCAACTGAGGCCTTGACACCCTGGGGCTCCAGGGACCACATGGGCAGGGGTGCCTGGAAGGAGGACCGGGCTGGGGGCTCACCTGGGAAGTCGGGCAGCTCACCCTCCTCATCCTGCAGGGTGGCCTCATCATAGCTGGTGTTCTCCCGCTCATTCTGGGGGTGGGAGCCAGGGTCTGTCTTAGGCCCCCCCTGCCCATCCCACCCCCATGTCCTACCCAAGATCTCGAGTGCACAGAGGTGTTCCTGTGTCCCTCGGACTCCCCCAGAGCATCAGACTGGCTGTGTTTGGTCCACAAGTGTCTACTGATTTCAACTCTGTGCCATGGAGTTATGTTGGGCTCCCCAGCAAGTGCCTGAGTGTGTGACTGTAACCCCCACAACTGGGGGCTGCATGTGCCACCTGGATACATGGGACTGAGAGAGGGATGGGGGGATGGGTCCTCATAAGGGTGCGTCTGGGAGTCTGCCCTGGGGTCACGTGGGGCTGACCATGTCTATGTGTGCGTGTGAATGCCTGCAATAGTACATTTGTGTGGCTCAGGGTTTGTGGGTCTGTGGTGAGCATGTGGGTGCATGGGTGGGCACCCCTGTGGGATATGCACAGTGGCCTCTGCTCTCGTGTGATTTCCTGTGACTGCACGTGATTTTGCATTTGCATTTCACTCTGTTTTGACTTTGTATACATGTGTGCTTCTGTGTACAATGCATGTGACTGTGTATTCACACAGGTGTTGGTTGTGTGTTCACCTGCTGGACATGTAAGACCACAGGTATACGTGTGGGTGTCCATCTCTGCATATACGTGTGTAGCTGCATTTTGAAAAGTGTCTGGTGTATGTAATGTGTGTTTGTGGGTATGTGATCTGTGTGTGACCGTGTGTCTGTCTGGTGTGTCTGCAGGTACAGCAAACTCTGTTGTGTAACCGCAGCAGGAGACACCCCGCCGCGCGCCGCCCGGGCCTGCCCGGCCCTCTGCCCAGCCCACCTCCAGCAGGGACAGCCGGCTCTGCAGGCTTTCCACCTCCCGTCCCAGACTGTCTTTCTCCTCCTGCTTCTCTGCCAGCAGCTGCTGCAGCTCTTGCACCTGGGAGGAGGGCGGTGGAGAGTCCGGCCGGCCTCCCGGAGGAAACACCGGGCAGGCGACGGCTGGCTCTCACCCCACCCTCTGCCTACCTGTCTCTCCAAGCTGTGGAGGGAGCTGGCCTCTGCCTCTGGCAGCTGACAGAAGAAGACGAGACGGGGCTTAGATCTCGGCTGGGAGGCCTCGCTCAGCAGCCCTCTATCCCAACCACAGGCACCTCCTCTACTTCCAGAACTGCTCTGCCCCCTCACTCATTACTAAGAATTTACTGAATGCCTGCTATGCGCCAGACTCCAATTTTGGCCAATAATTCATTCATTCATTCACTCCCTCACTCAAATATTTTCTCATTCCATAAATATTTATCAAGCACCTATGGTGAGCCAGGCACTATAGACCATGACTGCCTTTGTGGGCTTACAGTCAAATGTCTTTACAGAAAAAATTACGCTATGTCCAAAAGCAATAACTGCTTTGAATAAAAGTAAAGGGAATGGGGAAGTGAGTTGGGGGGTGTCACTATTTTAAATAAAGGGACCAGGCATGATGTCTTTGACAAAAGATGTTTGGGCAAAGACCTGAAGGAGGGGAGAGAGCCATGGGGACACCTGGGGGAGGGGTACCCCAGGCAGCAGGCAAAGCACATGCAAAGGCCCTGGGGCAGGATGGTGCCTGGAGAGGGCCAGCTAGGAGGCCTAGGTGGCTGCAGCAGAGTGAGTAAGGGGAAGAAAGGGAGACAGAAGGCAGGAGAGGCAGGGAGAGTCTTTCCCCAAGAACTGTACCCCACTCCAGGCTTAGCCCAAGCCTGGGACTCTGTAGCCCCGCACCTCCCGCTTCCTGCACTCCTGGTGCTGCTCCAGACCCCGGATCTTCTGCAGCAGGCGGCCCTTCTCCTGTCGCAGCCGCACAATCTCCTCGTAGGCATCTTGATCATCCTGTTCTCCCCATCCCGGAGACCCACACCATGACACGAGGTCCAAGGGCTGTCCCTGCCCATGCGTGAACCAGAGCCTCCCCTCCCCCTCCTCCCTGGAGATCCCCCATTCCTCCCCCCTTGGCCGGGGCATCTCTCACCGGCAAAGGGATGCTGGCGGGGGGCTGGGGTGCCTTCCGCTTCTTATGAGCCCCTCGGTGGTCATGGCTGGACACAGAGTTCTGGGGGAAGGGGTGGAAGGGGGCACATGGGAGACATGCCAGCCTTCCACCCAAACAGACCAACACAGCCGCCCACTAGGTCATCGATCCAAACCCTGCCCTCACTTCCTGTGCAGTCGCGAACAAGTCCCTGTCTCTTCATGGTCCTCACTTATCCCAGCATAAAAGGGAGCGAGACCACCTTCCCTGGGAGCCCCCTCCACGCCTTGGTACTTTCCCCGGCTAGATCAGGTAGTCTCCAAGTTTCCCTTCCCTCTGCGGCTGAGATGCCACAGGGCTGGGCGACAGAGGCCAGACATGCCCCATGCTTGGATTCTCACCAGTGTGAGACCCCTCTACCACCCCACCCACGATTTAGCTCCGCCCACAGCATGTTCTCACCCAGCCCTGCGAGTACCTTGAAGGCAGCATTCTTCCCAAACAGGTCCTCCCGGGAAATAACCCTGAGGCGGGGTGCACCTCTTCCTTCTCTTCCCACAGAGGTTGGGGGCGAGGGGACTAGCAAGCAGTGTGTGCACAGGGAGGGGGGCTCATTCCCGGCTCAGGGATCCATACCTGAGATGACGCCTCTCCTGAGTCGTCCTCTAGGAGGGGGAGGGAGAGAGGGAAGCAGGGTCAGGCACTCTGCTCTGGGACTTCATTCCCAGTCCTAGGACGGGCATTAGTGAGCCCAGGGGACTTATGGGGGGGCTCTCCCAGCTCCCCAAGAATCAGGATTTTTAAGGTGGGAACCAACTCATTGGCAGAATGCTGACAAGAGGGATCTTGAAACTATCAAAAAAGAAGAGGATAATGGCACCACTGGGATGGGGGGAGAATTCCCAATTCTCAGAAAGGCAAAGACCCAAGAATAAGAGTAACCCAGAAAGCAGAGTGGACCCCTATACTATTCTAAGAGTCCTGGGCTCCCTGAAACTGTCCTGAGGGGATCGGGGAAGCCATGAAAACTCCTATAATGCGGCAAATAGGAACATCTTGAAACCCTCCGCGGTAAGGGCAGAAAGGGTGGACAAGCAACTGCCTGGAAGAGAGGAGGTTCTTGAAACTGCTCAGAGGCAGGGCCTGCGTACCGCTGGGCGGCAAGGGGCGCCAGGCTGCCTCCTGCAGGAGGTGCAGGATGAGTTTGTCCCCTGCCAGGGCTCCGTAGTGAGCAGCGTCGCGGCCTAGCAGGTCCGTGATGGCCGGCTGGGCCCCGCCGCGCAGCAGCACCTCCACCGTTTCAGGGCTGGCCCCCTCACAGGCCAGCATCAGGGCTGTCCTACAGGGAGAGGGCGCTCCTGAGACGGTGAGGACAGCCTCAAACCCCAAGCCCTCCTCAACACCCAGGCTGGAGTGGGGCTGGGTCGGTGGGGGGAGGCCAGCTAGATTCCCCACCCTGGGAGGTTCAGAGACTTGCGCAAAGTCACACAGTACGTGATGAACTGTCTGGGAGGGGAGATGCTCACCTGCCCTGCAGGTCTTGGTCATTCGCAGCAGCCCCCTGCTGCAGGAGGAGGCGGCACAGATCTGTGTGACACATCTGAGCTGCTATGATGAGGGGTGTTGCACCTGACTGATGGGGGTTGGCGGAGGGATAAGACATGATAGGATGGCACAGGGAGGTAGGGAAGCCTATATGACTGCCTCTGAACTTCACTCCAAACCTATTCACCCTTTCCAAAGGGTGCCTGGAATGCTGCCACTTGGTGGCAGTGTACCTCAAGGGCAGTATCTCTCCCCAAAAGATCCCAGAGGCTCACCCGATCTCGGGGATTCAGATGTGCCTTGAAGGAGCAGAGCGTTTCTGAGCAGGAGATGCAGCCACCAGCAGCTGGAATACGAAGGGGGTGGGCAGGCGGGGCAACACTTAGACATTTTCTGGGGGCCTTCTTCCTAGATGTGATTCTTATCTTTTATTTCAGGAAAAATTCCCACCATCCCTGGGAAAGCAGTAACTAACGTATGACTCCTTCTTTACAGATGAGGAAACTGTGGCCCAGCCAGATCCATCAGCACCCAGAGGGGTCAGAGGCAGGGCCACAATAACAACCCAGATTGGCTAACTCCCAGTTCCAAGCGCTTTCTACATTCTACTGTGGTTCCCTCTTAAGGTGGAACTTTTGATTAATTTTCACGTATTTCGCCTCTTTGATCCAACCAGCATTTATTGTGTACCTACTGTGCACCAAGCCCTCTTACACAGAGTATTATGTTTAGTAGAGGGATCAGACCGCTTAGGTTAGGCAGGCTTCTTGGGGTTTGATCAGAGCTCTGAGTGTTGAAGGTGAGAGGGGGACCAGGATAGAGGTCACTGCATGGGTAAGGGTCCTGAGGTGGGAAAGAACTTGGTAGCATCAAGAAAGTGGGAGACAGTATGTTGAGCCTCAAAGAGGGAAGGGAGGGTTCATGAGAGGTGTTCCCGGATAAATCAACAAACTATCTGATTACCTGCTGTGTGCCCCAGGCAGTAGGGGATTTAGTTTCCTGCTGTAATCCCAATGCTTAGAACAGAGCCTGGCACAGAGCAGGAACTCAATAAATATTTATAGAATGAAAAAAAAAAAAAAAGAGCTTCCATGGTGACCACAGGCATCGCCACCACTAGGTGGCAGCATACTCCGGCTGCAGGGAATTGTGAGGCAGTGACTGAGCCCCATAGCAAACCCAAATTTATTCTGTATTCCCAAAAGACAAAGTCATCCCTAGGGAATGAAGGCCATTCCCTAACCTCATGGGCACAGCGGACGGACCCTGGGCTAGATGGATCCTCTCCCCTCCCTCGGAAGAGGAGTTTGGATTTTATGATTCTGAAGGCTGCCGGGAGGGACCTTTGGCATTCCCGAGACTCCCTAGCAGTTCCTCAAAGGAAGTTACACTCCAGCCACCCCCTCCCAATCATCCTCCCCCAGGCCTGGCATACAGTAGGCAGTGCTATGGGGTCAGATGGCCTGGGTCCTCCCCACTTTCTTGTGGGTTAGCCTCAATTACCATGTCTGTCCAATGGGATAACTGTCTGTGGTTCACTGGGTCGCTGAGGATTAATGCGGGGCCCCTGTGCCTGGCACACAGTAGGTGCTCAATGAGGAAGGAGGCGGAAGGAAATGGAACATTCTCGGCAGGGCCCTGGATAGAATAACCCCCAAGCCTTTGGGCTCTGGTGGGTAGATGGAGACGGGGCTGCACCCACCTGCGTGATGTAGGGCCGTCCACCCACTGCTGTCCACAATATCCACCATGCAGGACGCCTGCGGAGGGGAGGGCTGGGTCATTTGGGGGGGAGCCGTCCCGCTTCAGTGGCTAATTTCTCCAGGAACTGCCTGTCTGGAGGCTCTGCCGTATTTCACGCTCCTTGTTTCACCCCTTCTGCTCTCCCCCCTACCTGCTCTGTGGAGCCCATCTCTTTGGGGGTCCCCAAGTGACTCTGCTTTCAGGAAGAGAGGTGAGAGAGGGAATAGCTGGCAGCTCGGGCACAGCTGGGGCTTCGGGGACTCGATGGGAGGCCTGAGAGTGGCTGTGGCTGGGAAAGCACTTAGGATCTGGGGAGAAGCCCGGGGCTTGGGACCCATCTGGTACTGGGAGTGTATGCCGGGCGTGGGAAGTATCTGGACACAGAGTAGCTCAGGCTCAGGAGTCAAAGAAGCCAGGGAGGGCCTGGAATTCAGGGAGTATCTGGGTGTTCAGGAAATTGCTGGAACTCAGGAGAAGTCAGGGCAGGGGAGTATCTGGGCTCAGGGAGTATCTGAGACAAGGAAGTAAATGACCTGCAGCAGTTGCTTCAAGCACTGTGGGTGCCCGTACTTGGCTGCCAGGTGGAGGGCATTGTAACCTGAAAGGGAGAGACGAGTTACAAGGGCCCCACAAACTCCAGGAGTGTCTGGCCACTCCCCAAACCTGTGTCAAGGGATCCCCTGTGCCTAGTGAATGCCCAAACCCCAGGTACTTCTCAAAACCAGGCTACTCCCTGTGGCCAGAGATTAAGCCCCCGCTAACCTGTGTCCCAGACAATCTCATCTCAGCTACGCTCCCCACCCACCCACCTGCCCCTCCAGCCCCAGCTACCCCCCACGTCCTGAGCTATTCTATATGCTCACCTACACTGAAGCTCCAGCTACACCCCTCAGAATCCACAGTTGTTTTGAATGTTCCTGCCAATCCGTACACCCTATTTATGCCATGGGCTGTGTTCCGTTTTTGATACCCTGTAATCTGCAGATACTCCCTATCTCCTGGCTGCTGTGCACACACCCAGTCACTCCTGAGCCCCAGCTACTGCCTTTCGCCATGCGTTCTGTCTCACATATCCCTTCAAGTCCCTAGTGATGTCATACACCCAGATCCTCCTTCCAGCCCAGTACTCCACAGAGTTCAGATACAACCCCCAAACTACTGGTTAGTCTCTGGTCCCCAGATACTTCTCAAGTTCAGATATTCCTCTGATCCAACTACTTCCTCTAACACCCCTAATGCCTGAGTCCCAGTTGCTCCCCATCAAGTTGTCAGTCACCTTGATTGGCACCAGCTGCAGTCTCTCTCTGTGGGCACTGCAGCCTGACGTGCCCCTGTGCCTCCCTAGGGGCACTGCAGGGAACCCCTTTTTTCAGCAGGACACTGACACCATGAAGCAGGGCCCTTGGCTGGACCCTTAGGTTGGGCACCTGGTCTGACTGCCTCCCCTCTCCCCCGGGCCCGGTGGAGAGTACCTGCCCCATCTGTGCTCATGACATTGGCACCGTGTGCAAGCATCACTTCTAGACAGTTGGCTGCACCCCTCATGGCGGCCAGGTGGAATCTGGAGGTCAGGGGTCAGGGGTCAGCCACAGGATAGCCTCCCCTCGGCTACCACACACCCAGGTTGTGGGCACTCACGCAGACTTGCCCTCGGGGTCCAGTTTCGTGGGCACCAGCCCCTTGCGGGCGATGAGGGCAGCCACCCGGGCAGCATCGCTGTTCTCCACAGCCTGCAGCAGCCGCTCATCGCCTTTGCCCCAGTCCTGGCTCTGCGGGGCACACCCAGAGGAGCGTGGGGCCAGGCAGCCGCTGCCCTCTCGCCGCTCCCGTGCCAGGGGCTCCCGGCTCTCACCGCCCGCCCCTGGGCACTTGCCTGGCGCCTGCCTCTGGCTGCTGGCTTCGGGATGGGGCAGGGGCCGCAGGGAGGGCAGGAGCCTGGGTCAGTGGGGCTGAGCCGCAGCTGTGGGGGCAGGTGGTCCTGGGTGGGGGACTGAGACAGCACCCCCAAGCCTGGCCCGGGTCCATCCAACACCCACCGCTGGCACTGTCCCGTAAAACCAACCCCAGATCAGCTCCCAGCATCTTGCCAAAGAGTTGTCCCCCATACATAGGCCCCCAGCCCCATCCAATAGTGAAAGCCACATTTCCAACATCACGTTTCTATCTGAAGGGCTGCCCAAGGTCTTCCCATAGAAACCCCTAAAAATGTCCCTTTAAAGGTCCCTCAGAACAGTCCTCTGCCACCTATCCTTGACTGCCCCTGAAATGCCACAACTGTCCCCCAAATGGCCTAAAATGCATTCCACACTGTCTCCCCCAAATTCCTGTCCTCCAAAACCATCCCCCAAATGACCCCATCATGCCCTCCCCAAAACATCCCTTAAATGTCCTCCGAAATTGTTCTCCAAATGTCATCTTTTCCCAAAAAAAAACGATCCCCCAAAAGAAAGTCCAAATTGTTTCCTTACACGACCCCATCTAAAACTGCTCCCACAAAACCATTCTTCTGAATGCCCTCTAAATTCTCCAGTATCCCCCATCTGTCCTCAAAACTGCCTCCCCAAAGGTACCCCTCCCCAGCCACCCCCCGCACTTGTCCTTCCGGGGTCTTGGGTGGGGGGTCAAGGCCCGGCAGTCAGGGGGCGGGGAGGGGAAGCCCCTGCACCCCGCCCGCTCCCGCGCCCCCTCCCCGACCCTACCGCGAAGGACGTGGCCGCGCACAGGCACAGCTGCTTCATGGCGGCCGGGCCCCGGGCTTGCCGAGGCGACGGGACCGGAGCGGGCCGAGGGGCTGGGAGAGGGCTGGCGCGGTCCAGTCTCGCCCAGCGCTGCCCCCTCCCCGGGCGCGGGGAGGGCCCAGGCGCGGTCCAGGCTCTGGAGGAGGGGCGCCGTCGTAGCGCCACCTGATGTCCCTTCCACCAGGAGGACGCGCCCCCGGCAGGCTTCCCACCGGATCTCCAGGGACCCGCGCGCGTCGCCTCCGCCCCCTCCGAGCGGGCGGCAGGTGCCTCCTGGCCTGGGCCCCCGGGGCCTCCTACAGCCGCGCTGCCATCTCCGCCCACTGTCTCTTTCGCTCATTCATTCGTGCGTCCGTCAGACTGACAGACCTGAACTTGAATCCAGGGCCCTGTCCTCCGCACCCCATGCCCTGACCACCTGTGTGACTCAACAGAGATGTTTCCTTACCTGATCTGGACTCAACTTTCCTCATCCGGGAAATGGGTTTCATAACAAACAGTATCTACCGCGGAGAGTTCTTGGGAAGCCTAAATGAGATACTCTAGGCAAAGCGCTCCACAGCACCGTGCCTGACACAGCTTAAGTGCGGCATAAATGTGGATTCATTCATCAAAGACGAGGGGCAGCGGAGCCCATGTGCATATGGGGTCTGGGAATGCAAGACAGAACACGTGCCCAGCTGAACTACTGAAAGATGGAGGACACAGCCCTCCGGGGGGCTGGGAGGGGCTGGGTTCCCCAGTTCTTGCCAGACTGGGAGCCCCTTGAGAACAGGGCCAGGCTGAGGCCTCCCTGGCACTGGACCTGGCTCCCTGGGACTTCCACTGAGTTAATGAATGACTCACAAGGCCAAGCCCTCTAAGCCACGCAAGTTTCATTCATCCAGTCCATTTGTCCTGGGTGGGGAAGGGGGAGCTGGCCCTGCACTGGGTGCTGGCACTCAGCAGTGACAAAGACAGATGTCCCTGGAGAGACAGACACACCCACGAATATATGAGCCAGGGTGGTCGGGACTATTAATGAGGGAGGCCTAGGCAAGCTGGGAGCTCATAGACGACTCCTGACACCATTGAGGTAGTCAGGAAGGCTTCCTGGAAGAGACGTCTCTACTGGAACTTGGAGGATGGGGAGGAGGTAGGCGGCAGACCCAGGGTCATGTTTGGGGGAAATCATGAAATTATCGCTTTCCTGAACCAATGTAGTTGCCTGTGCCCTGGCCCAGGACCACGTGGGGTTGGCGATGGGAGGCATGCATAAGGGTGGAGCAGAAGAGGGGTGTCCTGGGCAGGAGAAGGGAACCAGGAGTGTAGGGCATCAGGAGAGCCCCAAAAGGTTACAGAAGGCGGGATGGTCCAACAGGTTGGTGTGGCTGCAAGTTCATGAAGGCGCCAGCAGAGGCGGGAGACTGGGATTCCAGGGGGGAGAAGGGACGAGTGCAGAGATGGCCCTTCTGGAACCTGAGTAGGACCAATGACTGCAGAAAGGAAGCAGAGGGCTGAATCCAGCTTGTTCATTGTATACTCGCTGTGTGACTTTGGGCCAATCACTCTCCCCCTCTGGGTCTCTTGACTCAATGCTAAATGAGATAGACAAATACAACAGACATACCACAAAGCTGGGCTCCTCCACTCTAGCACTGCTGACGTCGGGGTGGGGGTCTGTCCTGGGCGCTGGGGGAGGCTGAGCAGCCACCCGATGCCAGGAGGACCTGCACTGTGCCAACCACAGATGTCCCTGGACATCAGCCAGGATCCCTGTGGGCAGGATCACTGCCACTGTCTGTGATTAGACACCTTTGGACAGGAGGAGGGAGAGGTGGGGGCAGGTGGATGGAAAGCTTGGTGACGTGCAGCTGGGGGAGGTGGGCCTCGAGGACACTGCCTCCCTATACTCAAGCGGGGAGACCCTCTCAGGCTCCAAAGAGGAGGGTGGAGTGGATCTTCCAGCTCGGGCTTGGATTTCCAACCACCCTCCTGGATGTATAAAAGCTCCGACAAACTCCCTGCAAAGCACCTCCGTTCATCCCCCTATCCCTCAACCCCACCCGCCACAGCATGCCAGGAGCACAGCCACCCCGCCAGGGGCTCGGGCCAAGCTTGGCATTACCTGACTTCTCTCTCTCCCCCCACACTCAATCTGCCCTCCAACCCATGCTGTAGACTGTCCAGGTCCAGCCCTTCCTCCCGCGCCCCAGCCCCATCACCTGGGGCTCCGCCTGGTGGACGGCTCCTCCCTGGTCACCTAGCTTCTACCCTGGCCCCTTGTCCCATGTCCACCAGCTTCCTAACGTCTGCATCCGATCTCATCTCATGCCTGCTCAAAAGCCTCGAGAACTCACTCAGCCTAAAATAATAATGCAGACCTGCTCCCGGGGCCCAGGACATTCTAGGCAGGGAGTCTGCAAAGTCTGGTTTCGGCCAAATCTCACCCCTGCCTGCATTTGCACGGTTTGTGAGCTAAGAAGCATTTTTACGCTTATAAGTGATTGGGAGAGAAAAATCAAAAGAAGAGCAGTATTTCCTGACACATGAAAATGATAATGTAATTCTCATCTCAGTGTCCGCAAATAAAGTTTTATTGGGGCTGAGTCACGCCTATCCATTTACAGACAGCCTACGGCTGCTCTCGAAGGCCCAAGAACACAAAAATACTTACTGTCTGGCCCTTTGCAGGAAAAGTATGCCCACCTTTGCTCTAAGCAGTCCCGCTTGTCAACTCCCTGAGCTCACCTCTCCCTACATTTCCCCCAGCCCATACCATCCTGCCGAGTGACCTCCTTTCGGGTCCTTAAACTCTCAGTCCTACCTCAGGGCCTTTGTCCTTGCTGTGCCCCCCTCTGGAGCACCCTCCCTCCCCCCACTGCCCACTTCACACAGGCAAGGGCTTTGTCCATTTTGGTCGCTGCTGTATCCCCAGCAGGTACTAGGTACAGGTTTTGCAGGGCCTAGTGCAAAATGAAAAATGTAAAGCCCCCTCGTTCAAAAAATTATGAAGAATTCCAAGATAGTGAGAACAGAGCATTAAACCAAACATGGGACCCTTCTGAGTGTAGGTACACCAAGCTGGCCCTGATCTCCAGCAGCCATGACAGGGCCTGGCACACAGTAGGTGCTCAATACATGTTTGTTGAACCAGTGAAAGAAATAGTGACTCTAGACAATAAAAGTGAAAAGAGAGAGAGATTTCCAAGGAAGTATTGAGACACTGAGAATCTACAAATCTCTGAAAACCCCAATCTTCTCGCTTGTGGGATTTTTCTAAAACAAGAAATAAAGACAGGAGGTCAGTAGGAATGCAGAGCCGAGGCTCACGACCCCAGTGAGGTCCCATTTTATGGATGGAAAACCGGAGGCCCAGGGAGGAATCAAGTAGGCTCAGAGCAAGTGTGGCGATCTGTCAGGGCCTTGAAGGAAAAGGCTGGTATTAGAGAAACAGGAAGGGGCAGGAGGGCATGCCAGACGGCAGGGAGGGCTGGCACAGAGGCACAGTGGCTGGACAGGGTGCTGAGACAGCAGAATGGAAGGTCAGCTAGACAAGGAGGCTGGACCTCTGCAGTCACCGGTGTTTGCTTTCCTCCCTTGGGGAGGCTGAACAAAAGCTAAACCTGACTCCCTCTGCCTGCTGAGAACCTGAAGCCAGGCAGGTGGAGGAAGGGATGGAGGTGAGACGCTGGGCTTTGGGCAAGGACAAGCTTCTTGCCCTCCTGTGGCCCCCAGGCCTCCCATATGCAGGCCATGCTGTCCCAGCCCAGGCCCATCTCTTCTCAGAGCAAATACTGTCCCCGCCCTTCTGGACACCCCCACTTCCACCCTGAGACCCTCACCCCCAGCGTGAGGCTTTAACACCCATCTTCTCTCTCCCCCCTAAGCTCCATGCCACACACCTATCAAAACACACCCACGTCCCAGATTGTCTTTTTTTAACCTGCACAAATTTTTCTGAAGGATTTGATGTCAGTACCATTCTGTTTTTGAAATCAAGAAGCTGTATGGTTTGGTGCACCACCGGCTACCACTTCTTGGAAATCCTTTGTGGGGAAATGTGAATCATCTAATTTAGGAATAGATTCTAAATGGGATGGAAAATTCTAAGATCATTCCACAATGAATGAAGCGACCTCATGCCATTTTGTAGGCTGCTTTTTAAATGAGCCATTTATTCCTCTCTGTGTCTCTCTCTCTCTCTCTCTCTCCCTCTTTTCCTCTTAAACTGATGAACTCTCCACCCCCTGCCAAGAGGCAATCATGTTCTTAGCTGCGCAGCCCTGGAGGAGGTCAGCTGTCTCCTTTCCTAGCTGTGTGACCTTGGGCAAGTCTCTTAACCTCTCCGGGTCTCCTTTCATGTATAAAGCGGGAGTATTACAAGCTCTCACTCCTTATGATGGTTATGAGGATTAGAGCTAACATCTGTAAAACACATGGTCAACTCTTTGTAGTGTTCAAAAACAAACAAATAAAAATGAAAATAAGATGAAATGTAGACAAATGAATTCAATGGCATGAAACCTAAGTTTTTAACAAATAGAAAGAAATATTGAAATGAATGACAAAAAAATGAATAAAATAAGCTGGGGAAACTGAGGGCAGCCACAGGAGGGTGGTGACAGGCCCAAAGTCACCCACCCAGCTGGTCAGGGGCAGAGGAAGGATTTGAACCCAGAGCCACTGGTCTTTAAAGCCAGCCTGGTTCTTCTGGTCCCTCCATGTGGCTTTCAAGGACACCTTGGGCCGCACCCACTTCCGCCTCAGCTCCCGCTCACATTCTTTGCTCCAGCTGAAAGAACCTGTCATCATCCCATTATCCCCCTTAATCAATCAGGCCTGGCCCAGCCTCCAAACCTCTGCCCACACTGGTCCCTGTGCCCCTCGTGTGCCCTCACCTGCCTAAATCTTCCCTGTCCTTCCAGCCTCCGTTCCAGCACTGCCTCCTCCAGGTAGCCTCTCTGATTGCTCGGGGCCACGCCTGCAGGAGGTGGGGAGCCCTATCACATGGTGCAAAGGCCAAGGGCTCTGAAGTCAGGCACATGTGGGTTTGCACCTTGCCTTTCTGCTTTGCTTTGGGGCTGGGAGATGAGTTAACCTCTCTGGACGCTGGGTTCTTCGTGCTGTGTGAAGTCAAGCTCGACGAAGTCCAGCCACAAAAGGGTGCTCTGACTCCAGCTGGGAATCCGCACTAGGTTCTCTCTGTCTGTGTCTTGATCCCACCCCACACTAGCAGGGGCTTAGGGACCCAGGGGGGAGTGGGGACGACTGAGGAAGGAGGAGCATCTATCTCCGGGGG